TATTAGAGACAGGGCTTCACTATCTTGGCCAGGCCAAATGTTTAGAGCAGTAATAAAGAAGTACAGTTATTTTTGGAATTCATATTTGAAGTCCTCGTGATCCATCGGCTGGGCCTCTCAAAGTGCTGGGATTAGAGGCGTGAGCCACTGCACCCATTGGTATAACTTTTTAAAGATCTCTGGGGTAGACTGGTGTGGTGGCTCACGCCTGTAATCCCAGCACTTTGGGAGGCTAAGGTGGGCAGATTGCTTCTGTCCAGGAGCTTGAGACCAGCCTGGACAGCATGGCGAAACCCCATCTCTACAAAAAATACAAAAAGCCAGGGTGGTGGTGTGTGCCTGTAGTCCCAGCTACTCGCTGAGGGATGCTGAGGTGGAAGAATTACCTGAGCCCAGGAGTTTGAGGCAGCAGTGAGCTCTGCTCACACCACTGCACTCCATCCAGGGTAGCAGAGTTGAGACCCTGTTTCAGTAAAGATCTTCACAGGTAGACTTAATTGCAATGTCTTTTTTAAAGGATTTATTTGCTTACCTTTTTTTTAAAAGTCACACATGGTAAAGGATGTGGTGAGTACCTATAACTTAATACATATACTATTAAGCTATATTTTTGCCCAGTTAAGACAGTAAATGATTAAAAATTCTGTCTTGCTTTAGGATTTTATTTATTGTATTACATAATAAAAAGAATTATTTTATTAGTGTGTAGTGCTGTTCTCATAATATATGAATAAGGTTTCTTAGTATATTATGTCACATTCCTCAAAAGTATAGAATTTTTTTCTGTTTCTTTCCTAGTAACAGCTTCATCAGAGACAATAAAATGGTGATCAGGAAATTAAAATGAAATTATATGTGTAGATACTTTGTTTCATAGAGTTTAAATGAACTTTGGTGCTACTTCTATTCAAGAACTATTTGAACATTAATATTGATGTAGTGTTTAAAAAAAAAAACTGCTCTAGGCCAAATCAGATCTTAATCTGGCAGTATTTTGTACTCACAGAGTTTATAGTTTAATGGTACGTAAAATGTATTCTCTTTATATATTTATCATAAGAGTAAAAAATGTCAAGTGTTCTGAGAGTACATATAAAGGTGAAAGAACTCAGAGGGGAAGATTACGTCTGGATGAAGGACCTCAGAAACTGTAGGAGCTAGGGCTTAAAATTAAAAGAGGTAAGATTTGGAGGTGTGCAAGTGGGGAGACCACCAAGAAGCAAAGAAGAAGCATACACAGACAGAGAAAGATTATCACGGGAGTTTTTTTCAGTAGAATCTTAACTTTAAAAAATGCAAATTATTAGGTTCTACCTCAGACCTACTGAATCAGAAACTGTAGGGGTGAGGCCTAGCAAATGTGGTCCTCCAAGTGATTCTGAAGCACACCCAAATTTGACAGGTGGATACATTGGCCTGGAATATGCAATTCTTTTTGATCTTCGATCTAGGAAAGGTTCTAAAGAAACAAATCTGAAGTAACAACATTTAAAGAGTTCCAGTAATTAGCTCAATAATAATAGTTAACATTTATTGAGCCATTTTATTTTTTTGAGTGGAGGTTATTATCTCCATTACTAGGCTTTTTGTTGAATGGAGGTTATTATCTCCATTTTATAGATGAGATAGCTGGTGGGGGGTGGGAGTTAAATATTTTAATTGTCACAAAGCTAGAAAGTACCAGATCCAGAATTTTAATTTATGTAGCTTACTATAAAGCTGACTTTTTTTTGGTATGAAATAAATTCCAATTGAAGTTATCTTTTAAAAGTACAAATGAGTATTTGGACACTAAAGATCTCAAGGTTCATTATATGAGAAATGTAAAGTTATTTTACATGTAAGCTTTGTTTTGCACATTTCTCAATAACATCATTTGTCAGGTAAAAGAAGGAAAGTTTGGAATGGGCCGGACGTGGTGACTCACACACATTCCCAGCACTTTGGGGTGTTGAGGAAGGAGGATTGCTGGAGCCCAGGAGTTCAAGACTGGCCTCTGCAATATATGTGAGGACACTCCCAACCCTATAAAAAAAAAAAATAATATATTAGCTGGACTTGGTGACATGAGCCTGTGGTTTCAGCTACTTTGGAGGCTGAGGCAGGAGGATCATTTGAACATGGGAGTTTGAAGCTGTGGTAAGCCATAATAATGGCCCAGCACTCCAGTTGGGACAACAGAGTGAGTCCCCATCTGTGAATGAATGAATGAAGAATGAATGAATGAATGTATGAAAGAAAGAAAGAGAGAAAACTTCTAGCTTAGAGTGATTGTACCAGGTATTCCTGAGGTACATTCACATTTTATAATAAAACTCAGCCACTCTTTGTACTTGTATTTTTTTTCTCATTGACACTGACCTAAGATGTATTCCTTTCCCCTGTTTCTGCAACTGTTTAAGTTGATATCCTTCTGTGTGTCAGATTCAAATATAATATTTTGAAATGCACTAATACTATAAATATCGAAAAATACATCTTTTCAGATACTTGATTTTTGAGCAGAGAAAATACAAAAGTTATAATTAAATATGCAAGATATGTAACCATAAGGATCTTTGTTAATATGGAATAATGATATAATAAACAGTCTTTTCTACTTTCCTTTTTTATTTATGTGCAGTGTTTTTGAACAGGCAGTATAGTCATACAACCCAAAAGGTATGAAAAGACAAATAGTAATGCCTCCTTCCCATCTGTTTCCCGTAGGTACCTGTTTTCCTTCCCCACAGACACGTACTTTGTTAATAGTTTTTCTTCCAGAGATGATAATGTGCATATGTACAAGCAAATACAAATAGGTGTTTATTTCCCTTTAATACCAATAATAGTATATTACATATATTCATACTACCCTGTGTATATAATGTACACTATTGTTTCCTGCTTTTTACACATAATATATATTTTTCAGATGTTGTCATCTCACTGTATATAAAAAGCTTACTCATTTGTTTTTCAGCTCTCTCATATTTGATGGTATGAGTAAAACAAATTACGCCAGTCCTAGAGGTTTCTTTGTAGTTTTTTGCCATTATTAGCAATGCTGCAGTGGTTGCGTGGGTGGAACACTTAAGGTCAGGATTTTGAGACCAGCCTAGCCAACATGGTGAAACCCTGTCTCTACAAAAAATATAAAAATAAGCCAGGTATGGTGGCACGTGCCTATAGTCCCAGCTACTCGGGAGGCTGAGACACAAGAATTGCTTGAACCCAGGAGGCAGAGGTTGCAGTGGGCCGAGATCCACCACTGCATTCCAGCCTGGGTGACAGAGCAAGATCCTGTCTCAAACCACCCCCTGCCACACACACAAAACAAAAACAGTGCTGCGGTATTTAACTTTGTATATAAGTCATAGTCATGTCATCTATGTCCCATTTTTATCTGGAGGACAGAGTTGTGGAAGTACTTTGGATTCTTGGATTGAGGAGTTACGTGCATTTGTAATTGCCAAATTACACTCCTTAGGGATTGGTTGGAGTTGGGTTTAATCTTCCTTTCCACCAACATTGTATTGAAGTTCTAATTTCCCCATACTATCATCAATAACCCATTTACTTTATTTTTTTAGTTTTTGTGAAGACAGGGTCTTGCCTTGTTAACCATGTTGGTCTTGAACTCCTCCAGACTTCAGGCAGTCCTCCCACTTTGGCCTCCCAAAGTGCTTAGGATTACAAGTGTGAGCTGCCATGCTCGGCCCCCACTTACTTTTGAATACAGTTTTTCCCCTCACATATATATATATTTGGAGAACTCTATTACCACAGAAAATGACAAGAAATAGCATCATAAATCTGGGGAATTTTACTTTGACATTGTGCCAGTGCAGAATAAGATTCTAGTATAATCTTCATCATTAAGAAAAAAATGTATTCCTGTTGTAGGTCTCTAGTATTGTGATGATAAAATTTAGTAGTTTTTCAAAGAAAAAAGTTTACCATTCTTAATGTAAGTGGCTATTTGTAATTTTAAGTGCTTTATGTCTAAGAAGATCATAACAATAAGGCAAGAATCTTACATTAGAGCTCTATCTAGGATTTCTTGAAAAGTGGGAAAGAGATAAGAGGGAAGATGTGCTTTAAAAGAGTTATCATGGAAGAAGAAAATTTCAAAAATATTTCTTAAAATATAGTCAGTTTTAGTTCCTTAAGTATCAGCATCACAAACAGCAAAAATAATATAGTGAGAAAGTTAAATTTTACCAGATTTACTTTTCATTTTACTTCTATTTAATAATTTGTTGAATGGTAAAACCAGAATACTTTCAATATGTCTTTAGGGCTGAAAGAGAAAGTAGGTTCCTTTGAAATTAAATTTCAGCAATGTAGTTGTGTAGAATTTAAACAATTCACAATACTGACTTTCAGTGCTTCTGAAAGCAGGAAGTGTATTACTGGCACACAGAAATATTCTAGCCCAAAGAACATCCCTACTGCCATATGTGGTAAGAATTTGTCACTAACCCACAAACTACTTCTGTAATGCAGTGAATAAGCAGAATTGGTCTTTGTTGGACATTTCCAATTCAGTATGAAAGAACTTTGTTTTGCAGTTTCTTAAAAGAAATTATTTGCTTATGCCTTGGGAGAAAGCCTGGCATATCATGGGTGCTCATGGTTTATTGAGAGAAGAAATAAAGAAACCTGTACATAACTCTTTTAGGCATGATTTTAAAACTTGGTTATTGTGACCCTTAGTTAAAACACTGAAATTACTCGAGTGTGTTGAAGACTGAGTTAAATATTCTGACTCAGCTATTTTATATTACTTTTATTCTATTTGCCTTCTTTGCTGCTCATGTGAAGTAAATATGAATCTTATGTTTGCACTTAGGCTATGAAAGAAATTATCCTTTGGGTTAATTATTAAGAGATGGGGAAATTAAGAACTCAGAGACAGGAAAATGAGTTGTGAGGAATTGAGGTCAGCAAATTTTATTAAAAATTTTAAAATATCAACTGTTTCTCTAAACTTTAATTTTTATTTTTTGTATTTTAAGCGGTTAAGAAGATTGTCTACCAAATATAGAACAGAAAAGATATATCCCACAGCCACTGGAGAAAAAGAAGAAAATGTTAAAAAGAACAGATATAAGGACATACTGCCATGTAAGTATGAAATGCCCTTGATAGAACACATAGAAATGCTAATTAGCCTTTTGTAACCTACCTAGCTTCATTCTTCCTCAGTTTGATTGTTAAGGAAGTACTAATTAGCTTATCTTTCAAAGTACACTAAAAGATAATAATTCATAATTGTGCTTTTTGTTTTTCCTTCTGATCGTAATTTTTAATTTTTTTCCTTTAAGTATCATAGTTGCTCTAATACTAAATTACTTTTAAATACTGTAAATCTGAGTGAAAATATGTATTGTGAACTCTGTTCAAAGACATAATTGCATTAAAATAATAGACAACTAAATATATTTTCTAAAATGCTAACAATATTATTTTTCGTACATCCACAAGAACCTTAACTGATTAATTATGCATGAAAAAATGAACCATAGGATGACTCAAACATCTGTGTGTCTACTATTCTCAGCAATCTGAATATGTATCTCTAAGCATATGTCTTAGATTGATAGCATTACATTCTAATAATAATATTATAATTATTTTATTTCTTTCTTTCTTTCTTTATTTAAATAGAAGTGAGGGGGTCTCACCGTGTTGCCCAGGCTGGTCTCAAATTTCTAAGCTCATGTGACCCTTCCACCTCAGCCTCCCAAAGTGTTGAGGTTACAGGTATAAGCCACTGCACCTGGCCTGTATTCTTAAATAGCATATTTTTCTGGCAAAATAACTAACTCTGAAAGTATACTTAAAGTATGCCCTCACTTATCCAATAAAAGCTGTACGTCATACTTGCTATCTTTTAAAGCTGCCGGTAGTCTTCCTTTCTTCAAGTATCTTGAAATATCTATATTCCGTTACATCATTTCCTCAGTTCTCATACATTCTTAAAGCTTGTTCTCTCTAAAATGTCCTTAAAGTTCTAGGTGAATTTTTTTTTTTTGAGACGGAGTCTTGCTCTGTCGCCCAGGCCAGAGTGTAGTGGCACGATCTTGGGTCACTGCAACCTCTGCCTCCCAGGTTCAAGCGATTCTTGTGCTTCAGCCTCCTGAATAGCTAGGTCTACAGGCACCTGGCACTACGTCTGGCTAATGTTTTGTATTTTAGTAGAGACAGGGTTTCACCATGTTGCCCAGGGCAGTGACTTTTTCATTGCCAGATTTGGTGGTCTTTTTTTATTCTTTCTTCTAACAGGAAGAATATTGATTATTCAAGAATATTGAACTATTTTGATGCCACTGATAAATCCCTATTTTTGAAAATTTCTTCTTCCATAACTCTTTTAAAGCATGCACCCCTTCTCTTATCTCTTTCCTTCTTTTCTCCACTAACTTCTTTGCCTCAATTTAATCCTTCATCTTTTTGTTGTTCTACATTATTATCAGCTGTGGGATGTATGGATAGCCTGTGTTGGCAGAATTAACAAGTGGCAACATAGCATAATGGTAAAGCATTCTGATTCTGGAAGTTGAAATCCTGACTTCCCCACTTGATAGCTCTGTGACCTTGGACTTATCCTCTCTGTGCCTTGGTTTCGTCATCCTTAAAATGAAGATTATATTAATACTATTTAGGATTATTTGCGCAATAGGTTAATATTAATGCTTAAAAGTGTACCTAGCACACAGTAACTTCTCATTAAGCTTTTTTGCAAAGTACTCTCCACTTTTCTCACTCATTGTCTTAGTCCATTCAAGCTGCTATTACAGAAATACCGTGAACAGGGTGGCTTATTAATAACAGACATTTATTTCTTAAAGTTCTGGAGACTGAGAAGTCCAAGATGAAGGCACCTGCAGATTTGCTGTCTGGTGAAGGTTCACTCTGGTTCATAGATGATGCCTTCTCACTGCACCTCACAAGGTGGAAGGGGCAAACAAGCTCCCTCGGGCCTCTTCAGTAAAGGCCGGTAATCCTGTTCACCAGACATGACCTAAACATCTCCTAAAGGCCCCATTAATACTGCTGCATTGGAATTTAGGTTTTAACAGACGAATTTGGGAGGGACACAAACATTGACACCATAGCACCAGTCTGCTTCAGAATAGGGGATGACACGGCTTTCTGGATACTTTGTATTAAACAAAATAATCTTAAGATGATTTTACATTGCTCTGGAATTATTAATGTACACATTCAAAGAATTAGTCTATCCAATTCCTTTTTCTGTCATCTAGGGAAATCTTAAACAGCCGTAGGTTTCTGTTTTCATATGTTGTTTCATTTCTTTCTTTGTATTTGTTTCATTTTGTTTTTATGTGATGGAGTCTCACTCTCTCCCCTAGGCTGGAGTGCAGTGGTGTGATGTTGGCTCACTACAACCTCCACCTCCCGGGTTCAAGCTGTTCTCCTGCCTCAGCTTCCCAAGTAGCTGGGATTACAGGCACCCGCCACCACACCTGGCTAATTTTTGTATTTTTAGTAGAAATGGGATTTCCCCATGTTGGCCAGGCTAGTCTCGAACTCCTGACTTCAGTTCATCTGCCTACCTTGGCATTTACTCATTTTACAGAAAGCTTTGAGCATGTGCTATATGCTGGCACTACAACAAAAAAACTGGCAAAAATCTCTGCCCTTGTGGAGCTTATGTTTTAGTCAAGGTCTTGTTAGACAGTACAAATTAACATATATGGTCTGCCATGTGGTGATTAGTGTTATTGAGAATATAGTTGGAATGAAGAATGTTAAAATAATCACCCAGGTTCTTCCTCGCTACTTCTAGTTTTCGGTGCTTTGCCGGGTTTTAATGGTGGCCAACATCATGGGTGCTGTGGCTTTCTCCATACGGTGTCACAGGAGCTAAGGGTGCTGCTTAAGGAACTGCAGAAAATTCAGACAGGACACTCAGTCTGCTGTGGCAGTGGAATGTGACAGAAAAGCCAGGCAGGAAGGTGGGGAGCAATCCTCAAGGTCCTGGCTGACCAACCATTGAACAGGGCTTGGTGTATCATTGCTTCTGGGCCTTTTTAGTGGACAGAACGGGGATGGATATACACCTGTTTATTTGAAATTATGCATTTGTTCCATATTCCAACTCCAGCCCACCCCTTCTTTGCCCAAGTTGCTCTGTGGTCAAGTGAGTGAGAACAGGTGGCTACATTTACATTTACAGACTTGTTGCTCACCGCTTCCAGTCGCATGGTGCTTCACACCTCTTCAGTACATGTGCTTATTTGAACCCAGAGCCTTGGCTTTGAAATCATACAACCCCAGTTTCAAATGTGCTGCCACTTGAGTTTTGTGATTTAGGTGTACTCCTGTCTGTGCATAGCGATATAAAATTCTGTGCTTAGAGGAAACATTGATTTCATGATAGCTATTTCTTACTAATTCTATACTTTTGAACCTGAGATGCTATCTATAATGCTCTGTTTTTATTTCTTTTTAATCGATTGGCAAACTTTTAATTCCCTGAGACCCAGCTTGTTACATCTCTGAAGACTGCTGATATCCTCAAGATGGCCCTTACTCCCTTTCTTTGCTTTTACTTTACTATGGCTATATGGACAACATTATTGTGCTTATTACATACAACAAATATTTATTGAATGAATCATATTAAAATTCACATTTAAAGTGCTAAAAAATCAAAATACACATGATATGCTGTGTAAGTAGCATAATGTTGATTTTTAAATTCTCTTTAATATGCTATGAGTACATAGTAGAAAGCAGTGACTACCAAATTTGCCTGTGTTTTAGAATTTAATGGGAAGTTTTAAAAAGGGCATTTCTGAATTTTCTAAATCCGGTTTTGAATTTGCTAAATTAAACTTACTGCAAGATATAGTACTCCAGAAATCTTGGACTTTAATTTGCTTTCCCTAGCTGTTGAATTATTGGGGGTAGATGAAATAAGATTCGTAAAATGTTAGTAATTATTGAAGCTGGGTAATGGATATACAAAGATTCATTATACTGTTCTATTTTGGTGTATGCTTAAAATTTTCCATCTTAGAAAATTTTTTTTAAAAAGGAAATTACCAGCCTACATGTAGCCAGCCTGGCACTAGTCTCCCAAACTATCTCCCAAAACTAGTCTCCCATACTGTCATTTGGGAGCCACTATTCTCATTTGGATTTACAGTCACCAGAAACATTTGCTGAGGACGCAGTGGTAAACCAGCTATTGTATTCTGCCTTTGAGATACTTTGAATAGAGGCTAATATGCCATATGAATAAGGGTAATTAGCTGAGACTCCTTATTACTGGCAAACATGGTAAGAGGAAGCTCTCTGTAGTTATTCAGCCATCATTATCCTAACTGAATATTCTATTCTCATTTTCCAGAAACATAGTGGATTTTTTTTTTTCTTTCTTTCTTTCGGTATGTGTATTTCCTATCCCAAATGACATATAAAAGGGGGAATGGAACATATAAGGTGGCATGACAAAGTACTGACAAACATTGACAGAGTATTGACAAACATTTGTAAATATTCTGTTTCTTAGAATATAGTGAGGAGATGAATAATTTTCACCAGAAGCCAGTATGTTTTCCTTATATGTCTCTTCCTACAAATTTAAAAAAAAAAACTCTTTAAAAAATAAATTTATTAATTAAATTAGCAGAACTGGGCCTTAGTGCTCTGTATAAACTTTGAGCCTATGAAAAATAAATTAGTTACTATTATTTGTTCTTTAAAACTTTGCTAAGAAGTTTATTCATGTCTGTTAACATTTCAGTATTTCCTTTTGTATTTTAACTGCCTTTAATACTCATTCATGGATTAGAAGGGATTCTAATGTAATGCATTTTTACGTATTATATGTTATGGTCCCTTCTAATCCAGAGACAACAAATATTAAGCAATTCTTCTTTAGAATTTCATAATCTCAAAGCATCTAACCTAAAATATTTGTTAACTAAAAAGGGGAAGGCAGTAACATTTCCTTTTGATAAACAAGGAGTACCATATTAACCAAGTGACCATGGTTAGAATCACAATTACTAAGCCATATGCGTATCATGTATTATGCATCACAAGTACTAAGGCATGTGTGTATCATGTGTTGTACTGAGAGGGACGCAACATCATTCTGTGATATTACCAAAAATCCCCAACTTCATTCCAATCATTTTTTAAAAAATCAATTAGAAAAACTTTTTTAGATTGAAGGAGACGAAGGAGAAATAAAAATTGTTATTATTTTGAGATGGAGTCTCACTCTGTCACCCAGGCTGGAGTATAGTGGTGCAGTCTCAGAGCACTGCAACCTCCCACTTCCTTGGTTCAAGCAAATCTCCTGCCTCAGCCTCCCAGGTAGCTGAGATAACAGGCATGTGCCACAATGCCCTGCTAATTTTTTTTTGTATTTTTAGTAGAGATGGGATTTCACCATGTTGGCCAGGCTGGTCTCAAACTCCTGACCTCATGTGATCCACCTGCCTTTACCTCCCAAAGTGCTGGGATTACAGGTGTGGGCCACTACGTCCAGCCACTAAAAATTAAATTTGAGAACCTTGAAAGAGATAAAAGATTAGAAAACACTGGTTTTGCATATAGTCTTGTTTAATTAATAGTTTTATAACTGTTAATATTGTGATATTGATCATTGTCGTATCGTTATATAAGATGTTGCTATTAGAGGAAGCTCAGTGAGAGGTATATGGAAATTCTGTATACTGTTTTTGCAGTTTTACTGTAAATCTAAAATTAGTTCTAAATAAAAAGTTTTAAATATCAGCACAAACTGGAAAAAACTATTTGTACCTCTTGTGACAGAGGGCTGATTTTTTTCTTTTTACATGGATTTTATAAAAAATCAGTAGGACGAAACAGACATGGAAAAATGGGAAAAGTGTGTAAACAAGTGGTTTATGGAAAAAAAGTACACATAACACAAATATATTAAAATATACGCTCTTTGCATAATCCAAGAGATGGACAATAAAACAAGACATTTTTACTTTTTGGTTTGTCAGTGATGAAAAGTTAATACCCAGTCACCCTTATTAAATAACACTTGAATAAATTGTTACATACCTTTTAGAAGGCAAGTAGCAATTCCTCTCTTAGGAATTTATCCTACAACAACACTGGTAACAGCCATATATACATGTTAGTGTTCATTGTAGTAATGTTTTTAATAGGGAAAAAAATGGCTCATCAGTAGAGTATCCAGTTAAATAAAGAATGAAACATTCACATGATGGAATTCTCTGTTAAACTAAAAAGAGTAAGATAGCCAAGTGCAAGCTGGGTGCAGTGGTTCACACCTGTAATTCCAACACTTTGGGAGCCTGAGGCAGGAACAACTCTAGCTCAGAAGTTTTAGGTTATAACGAGCTATGATCGCACCATTGTACTTCAGCCTGCATGACAGAGCGAGACCTTGTCTCTATATTTTAAAATAATGAGGTAAATCTTTTTGTGCTTTGGGAAGAGTTCCACCATGTACTGTAAGCTGAAAACGATACAAAACAGCATGTTTAGGATGCTTGGATTTGTGTAGTAGTTTTTCAAAGTATATAGCTGTATGTGTACACAAAGTATGTTTGGAAGGGGAAAAGAAACTTTAATATAGTATCCGGTTGGGAGAGAGCCCTGGAATTGAAGAGCAGGGGAGGCTTACTTTTTATTTTATACCTTTCTTTAAGGTCTAATTTTAAAAAAATTATATATGTATGCTCTTTTTAAAAAATAAGTAAATCAGTAAAAACTGAAAAGAAAAATATTATTTATAAAATTTTTTGTAAAGATTTTTTACTTTAAGCTACATTACCTAATAATACATATTTTTAGCCAAGAGCAGTGTTGAGCACTTTTTATATAATCTCAGTTTACTTAATTTGTTATAATTTAGTTTTTATGGTTTCTTGTGAAATATGAAAGTTAGATTTTCTAATAAGAATTTTAGCATATGGGCTTGTATATCACTGCAACCTGATATGTTTCGTATTCATCAGCAACCTGGTATGTTTGTTAAAGCTGCAGGGGCTGAAACCTTAGATTCTGCTCTATTAAATCAGGGATGATGCCCTGGAATTTGAATTTTAAAAGAGTGCCAGAGATTATTCTTATTGCAACTTTAATACACTGCTTTACACCACTGGTGGTGGTGGTTTGTTTGTTTGTTTTGAGACAGGGTCTTACTCTGTCGCCTGGGCTGGAGTGCAGTGGCTCAATCTTGGTTCACTGTAGCCCCCACCTCCCAGGTTCAAGCAATTCTCCTGCTTCAGCCTCCCAAGTCACTAGGATTACTGGTGCCTGCCAGGTCATGGTTGTTTTAAAATTTATTTTATTTCCCTTCAATGTAATGTTAGAAATTACCCTGCTGGTACCTAGAGTGCATTTTCATTCATTGTTTTTTAAAGTAAATGTTCTTAAGCTATCTATTTAACCTTACTTAGACTTTGTTAGAAAATACCTGTGTGTCAACCATGCATATTTTATGAATTTTTTTTCTTGTAGTTGATCACAGCCGAGTTAAATTGACATTAAAGACTCCTTCACAAGATTCAGACTATATCAATGCAAATTTTATAAAGGTATGTACACTTTAAATAGTGTTTCTCTGTTGTAGTAATGTCTTTCTACATACTAGTTTTGTAAAAACTTTTTGAATTGCTCAAACATACCAACAGCAAGAGAAATAAAAATAAAACCATTCTCCTGGCACATTGTTTTTATATGCTTTCCTTCTAGCCTCCTTATTCATATAGTTAAATAGTTTGTGCTTAGTTTTGTGATAGCAGAGATAACATTTTCTTTTTTATTTCTACTTTCCCATGGAAGTCTTACATATTACTAAATAATCTACTCAGTCATCGCTTTGGGTTTGTGTGCACAAATGAAAATGATTATTGCCTGTTGTTGACCCATATAGGTTGTTTCCAATTTTTTTAAATAATAATATTTCAGTAAACGTCTTTGTTCTTTTGAATAATTTCTTGGGATAAATTACTACAGGTGGAATTGCTGGATAATATTGATTTAAAATTCTGGAATGTAGCCTCAAATATAAAACTTTTGGCAGTTGTCACTGTTTCAGGTGGCAACCCAAAATCCAAGATAAAATTGTCTCTTTTATATAACCTTTGTTTGGATACCCTTTGAAAAGCAGTCAAGTTCTTTAGGTTATCAATAGCAGTAGATGAAAACTGCCACTTGATTCAGTTTAAATAAAAGCCTTTTTTTTCCATTAGCTTATCTGTGTTTTTAAATCTTTCAAGTGATATGATAGTATAATTTTCACTTATATATGGTGTTTATACATATTTGCATATGATGTTTTTGTTGATAAAAATGTTAACTGATAAAAGTTTATGTGAGGCTGGGCACAGTGGCTCATGCCTATAATCCCAACACTTTGGGAGACAGAGGCAGGTGGATCACCTGAAGTCAGGAGTTTGAGACCAGCCTGGCCAACATGGTGAAACCCCCCGGCTCTACTAAAAATATACAAATTAGCCAGGTGTGGTGGCGCATGCCTGTTATCCCAGCTACTTGGGAGGCTGAGGCAGGAAAATCACCAGAACCTGGGAGGTGGAGGTTGCATTGAGCCAAGATCACACCCCACTGCACTCCAGCCTGGGCTACAGAGTAAGACTCTGTCTCAAAAAAAAAAAAAAAAAAAGTTGACGTAGTAAAATTAGTATCTATGCCAACATTCAGCAGTCATGTTTTTAAATAAAAATTTTTTGTTTTAAGAAAGTTAAAAACCAAAATTAATACATTAATTAAAAACTAATAAGTTGATGGTTTGCTATTTCAGATTTTATCCATGTTCATATTCTTTTATAAGGGTGTTTGTTAAAAGTTACAGTTTTTAATTATGCTTAATCACACTGATAAATTGTATGAGTCAGTTATGTGTCAGTTTTAGTATTTTATTCAATGACCCTGTTTGGTATATTCTCATGTTCATTATTAAAAACTTGTATGGTAGATGTTTGATGAACTTTTAAGCTGAATAGATAATGGAAGATAGCTATGGAAAAAACTAAGAAAGAACTGTTTACTAGTTTTGGTATTGTTTTAGAATCAGAGCATGCTTTGTATTTCTCCTACACTTAGCCTCGTTGAGTAGGTATTAGGGCTTTTGTTTTTAATGCCTAGATAAGTAATAATTTTTAATTAGCATAAGGCAGTTCTTAATTACCTTTTCTGTGCACCATATCCAGTAAACACACAGAAGTAATAACAGTCATCAGAAGTGAATTGAATATATTTTGCCATGCTTTATTTAATGTACTGTAAGAGATACATTGTTTGGAAATGGTTTAAGTTAAAACAACAATATTACTAATAAAATTTGAAACCTTTTATTTTAGGTAATGAAATATTTCTGATAATCAAAATAAATGTGAACTTTGCTTTTAACCATTTTTAGGGTGTCTATGGGCCAAAAGCATATGTAGCAACTCAAGGACCTTTAGCAAATACAGTAATAGATTTTTGGAGGATGATATGGGAATACAATGTTGTGGTAAGTAATTTACTTTTTACAATAATTTTGAGAACTATATATGTAATGACATATAGGATGTTTTACTGAATAAGGAATGAGGGTTTTTTTTTTTTAAATCCATAATGATGTTTACTTATTGCTGATGTTTACTAAAAAGATGGACACTGATTTTTAGGATGTCTCATTAAATTTCTACAAACTAGGCTAAATATTTTAAGAAGGTATGATAATAGTTTAAATGTTGTCCTAAGTCAATAACTAATGATACAACTATCAAACAACTTATAAAAAAGCAGGAAAGGATCAGTGCTCTAATAGGTCAATAAAATACTTGATAGTACAGCTATACTCATTTGAGTCCCTCTTCTTAGGAAAATACATGTAAACACCTCACTGCAAACAATTATATACGGTGTTTATATACGGTGTAAGGGAGTTTGTTTCATCTGCCCCTGGAGTTCATTAATTGCCCTTTTGTTCTTTTGGATGAAGGGAATAATGTGCCTTTAGATTTGGAAGCAGAGGGAAATGAGTTGGAATAGTGCAAAGAGCTACCCTGTACTGCTGTGTATTACTCTTGAAACCTAAGCATGTGCGTTGACACTTTTCATTGTGTGGGTGTAGAAAATTAGTAATGTGGAATTTTCATTTTTTTCTTAAGGCTTTTTAATGGAATTGTCATGCTCTAAAGCAGGCGTCCCCAAACTTTTTACACAGGGGGCCAGTTCACTGTCCCTCAGACCGTCGGAGGGCCGCCACATACTGTGCTCCTCTCACCGACCACCAATGAAAGAGGTGCTCCTTCCTGAAGTGCGGGGGGTGGGGGGGGGGGGGGAATAAATGGCCTCAGGGGACGCCTGATCTAAAGCATTGACATCCTCTGGTCTTTGAAAGATTAAAGAAAGGGGGGCAGTTTTCCAGTTATTTATATTTGCTGTACTTCACTTTAAAAACTACATGTGCTCGTGGATTGACTAAGAAGAGCATAAAGAAAGTTTTTGGATGATGGGAAGATCCTATATATTGATAAAATTTGTGTTGCACAGATGCATGCGTTTGTCCAAACTCAGAATGTTCACTTTAGGATTTGCAAATTTCATTGTATGTAAAATTTACCTCAAGGAAAAAATACTAGAAAGAATATTAAAAATTACTGTGTTCTAGATAATAATATGCATGCTGAAGTATTCTGTGGAGAGTATACTGATGTTTAAGACTTAATTTGAAATGCATTTTTAAGGCCAGGCATGGTGGCCTATGTCTGTAATCCCAGCACTTTGGGAGGCCAAGGCAGGCAGATCACCTCAGGTCAGGAATGTGAGACCCTGACCTGGCCAACATGGTGAAACCCCTTCTCTACTAAAAATACAAAAAAATTGGCTGGACATGGTGGTGAGTGCCTGTAATCCTAGCTACTTGGGAGGCTGAGGCAGGAGAATTACTTGAACCCAGGAGGCGGAGATCGCGCCAGTGCACTCCAGCCTCAGCTAGACCCCTTCTCAAGAAAAAAAAAAAAAAAAAAGAAATGCATTTTTAAAATAAGATGAATTGATAGAGGGATAGCTATGTGATAAAACATGGTTAAATGTGAATGATAGAATATAGTTGATGGCTATACAGTGTTAATTATAAAATTCTTTCAATTATGCTGTGTGTTTGAAAGTTTATAAAATGGGGAAAAGCAGATGTAATCACCTTTAAAAATTGTGTTAAATGCATTCAATATTTCAGTAATACTAAATGTATTTTTAATTAATAGTGCTATTTATAAGTAGGTAAATATCCTAAAAGTGGTATTTTAATATAATTTCAGAAGTCACAAAGTAAATCTGTAAGATTCACATAATTTAATTCAAATCAAATAAATCATGTTAATTAGAACCAGTTTAGTGTGTTGGTATATAGTTAGCCCTTGTTTGGAAAGCCTAATTTTGATAATTTCTTTAACTTACACATTTAATATTGAAACAGGTTTTTTAGGCAAGCCAGTTAAAATTCTCAGGGTGCAAAGTAATTCTTGAAATTTGTATTTTATTAAAAAGTAAAATTGTGTTTGACTGATACATTCTTCATCTCACTCCCCACCATCACTTTTTAGATCATTGTAATGGCGTGCCGAGAATTTGAGATGGGAAGGGTATGTATAACCTATTCCTCTTATTATTTCATTTTAGGGATAAATATTCTTGGTCTTTTATTATTATCATCATCTGAACATAGGCAATTAATGTAGATACTTCTTTTATTTTGGGGTTCTGCTGATGCTTTTATTTCATACAAGGAACAAAATAATCTCTCAAGCATGTTTTCTTTTATATTTTGTAAGTCTATTTTATTATACATAGGCATACCGTGGAGATATTACAGATTCAGTTCCAACCACCACAGTAAATCACATTTTTTGGTTCTTCAGTGAATATAAGTTATATTTATATGGCATTATAGTCTGTTAAATGTTCAGTAGCATTATATGTATAAAACACTTCATGCCTTAAAATTTTTTTTTTTCTTTTTTGAGACGGAGTTTCGCTCTGTCACCCAGGATGGAGTGCAGTGCTACAATCTCAGCTCACTACAACCTCCGCCTCCCTGATTCAAGTGATTCTCCTGCCTTACCCCCCAAGTAGCTGGGATTGCAGACACCCACCACCACACCCAGCTAATTTTTGTAGTTTTAGTAGAGACGGGGTTTCATCATGCTGGCCAGGCTGGTCTGGAACTCCTGACCTCAGGTGATACACCCGCCTCAGCCTCTCAAACTACTAGGCTTACAGACATGAGCCGCTGCGCCCAGCCATGCCTTAATTTAAAAATACTTTGTTACTAGAAAACATAATGATCATCTTAGCCTTCAGCTAGTTGTAATCTTTATGCTGGTGAAGGGTCTTATTGATGTTGATGGCTGCTGACTGATCAAGGTGGTGTTTGCTGAAGGTTGGAGTAACTGTGGCAAATTTTGATAAAATAAGACAGGGCCAGGCACAGTAGTTCACACTTGTAATCCCAGCACTTTGGGAGGCTGAGGTGGGAGGATCACTTGACCCCAGAAGGTGGCAGCTGCCATGAGCTATGATTGGGCTACTGTACTTCAGCCTGGGCAGAGGGAGACCCCACCTCTAAAAAAGTAAAATAAGAAAATAGTGAAGTTTGCCGCATTAATTGTCTCTTCTTTCATGAAAGACTACTCTGTAGCATGCTGTGCTGTTTAATAGCATTTTACTTATAGTAGAACTACTTTCAAAATTGGAGTCTGTCATTTCAAACTCTTGCACTGCTTTATCAACTAAGTTTATGGTTACCAACTAAATCCTTTGTTGTCATTTCAACAGTGTTCGCAACATCTTCACCAAAACTAGATTCCTTCTCATGGAACTACTTTTTTCTCAACCATAAGAAGCAACTCCATCTATTCCAGGTTTTGTCATGAGATTGTGGCAATTCAGTTCCATCTTCAGGCTCCACTTCTAATTCTCTTGCTGTTTCCACCACATTTGCAGTTACTTCCTCTTCTAAGGTCTTAAACTCCTCCTCAGAGTTATCACGAGGTTTGGAATCAACTTTTTCCAAACTTGTGTGAATGTTGATATTTTGACCTCCTCCCATGAATCATAAATATAATGAATATCATCTAGAATGCTGAATCCTTTGCAGAAGGTTTTCAGTTCACTTTCCCTAGATCCATCAGAGTAATCATTATCTATGGCAGCTTTAGCTTTATAAAATATGTTTTTTAAATAATAAGACTTGAAATTTGAAATTATTCCTTGATCCATAGGCTGCAGAATGGATGTTGTATTAGCAGGCATGAAATTATCATTAATCTCCTTGTACATGTCCATCAGAGCTTTTGGGTCCATTGTAAACAATAATATTTTGAAAGCAATCTTTTTTTTTCTTTTTTCCAAGCAGTAGTCCCCAGTAGTGAGCTTAAAATATTAAATCGTGCTGTAGGGATGGGCTGGGGGTGGGGTTGAAAAAAAAAGCATGCTGTAAACAGATGTGCTGACATCCAGGCCTTATTCTATTTATAGAACACAGACAGAGTACAATCTGCATGATTTTAGAGCCTCTAGGATTTTCAGAATGGTAAATGAGCATTGGCTTCAACTTAATGTCACCAGCTGCATTAACCCCTAACAAGAGAGTCATCATGTCCTTTGAAGCTTTGAAGCTAGACATTGACTTTTTTTTCTGTAGCTCTGAAAGTCCTAGATGGCATCTGCTTTCAATATAAGGCTGTTTCATCTACACTGAAAATACGTCATTTAGTATAGCTTGGTTCATCAGTGCTGTTAGCTTAGATCTTTGGATAACTTTCTGCAGTTGCTACGTCCTAATTTGGTGCTTCATCTTGCACTTTTATGTCATGGGAGCAGCTTCTGTCCTTAAAACTCATGAACTAGCCTTTGCTAGCTTCTGACTTTCCTTTTACAGCTTCCTCATGCTTCATAGAAATTAAGGGAGTCAGTGCTTTGCTCTGGATTAGGCTTTGGCTTATAGGAATGTTGTAGCTGGTTTGATCTTCTATCTAGACTACTAAAGCTTTCTCCATGTAAGTAATAGGCTGTTTGACCTACTCAATTGTTTGTGTATTTCCTGGAGTAGCTTTTTAATGTCCTCCAAGAACTTTTCCTTTGCATTCTAAACTTGGCTAGTACAAGAAGCCTACCTTTCTGCCTGTGTCAGTTTTCGACATGCTTTCCTCCTAAGCTTAATCATTTTTAGATTTTTTTATTTAAAGTGAAAAGTATGTGACTCTTTTCACTTGAACACTTTGAGGCCATTGTGGGGTTATTAGTCTTATTTCAGTACTGTGTCTCAGGAAATAGGAAAGCCCAAGGAGAGGAAGAGAGATGGTACAAAAACTTATCAATGGAACAGTGACAACGCTCACAACATCTGTTAAGTTTGCCATTTTATATGGGAGCAATTTGTGGCACCCCAGAACAATTAGAGTAGTAGCTTCAGACATCACTGATCAGATTACAATCACAGATACCATCATAATGAAAAGGTTTGGAATACTGCAAGGGCTACCAACATGTGGCACAGACCTGAATGAGCACATGCTGTTGAAAAAAGGATACCAATATACTTGCTTGGTGCAGGGTTGCCACAAAACTTCAATTTGTAAAATATTCAGTGTCTGAGAAACACGGTAAAATGAGGCATGCCTGTACTTAAAATAACTAATTATGTATTATTACTTAGTAATCTTCAAATATTCAGTAGTGTTTTAAGTGGAATGCCATCTATGGACTAAAATAGAGAGGTATTTTAAAATAGGAATAAGATTGAGCAAGTGAAAATACATGAAATAAAATCTGGTTATCGTTAATATGTCGTTTGAATTTTTGTTTTTTTTGAGACAGTGAGACAGAGTCCTGCCCTGTTGACCAAACTGGAGTGCAGTGGTGCGATCTCTGCTCACTGCAACCTCCATCTCCCAGGTTCAGTTGATTGTTCTGCCTCAGCCTCCCAAATAGTTGGGATCACAGGTACCTGCCACCACAGCCCAGCTAATTTTTGTAGTTTTAATAGAGATGGGGTTTCACCATGTTGGCCAGTCTGGTCTTGAACTCCTGACCTTGGGTGATCACCCACCTCTGTCTCCCAAAGTCCTGGGATTGCAGGCATGAGCCACCACACCTGGCCTGAATATTTCGATTACTCTATTTGCTAATACCACAATATATTTTGCTTGTTTCCTGTCTTCAAAGCTGAGAGAAGATAGTTTCTTACCCTGATTTTCTAACATTGGTATTTTTATGCTATGTAGAAGTAAAATTCATTTATTCTGTATCTTTAATTTATAAATATGTTAATTTTTTTCAGTAAGCAATATATTGCAAAAGATACATCTTTCAGTTGTTAATAAATAATTGGGAAGCCTTAGTTGATTCCGTTACTCCCAACTATTTCCTTTATCAGTATCAAGTAATGTTGGACAGAAAGTGAATAAAATTAGAAAATATAAAAACAGAAATTATTGCATAATCAAATTATCTATTTAAGTGTTGTCAGTATGTACGTTAATATTATTAATCGATTGTCTTAGAGAGTTTAAATGTTGTTCACCTAATGTTTTAAGTTGCTATTAAGATTTAGGATTTATTTTTCTTTTCATTATATTAACAAGCTCATATTGTGTATCAGTGGTAGTTAACTGGTGAAAAATTAAGTGTATTGGGTGCAGAATTTTTTGAAGCTGAGCGTTTTTGTGATTCATTATGTCTTATTAGTAATAGATTATGAGTGAGTTAGGACCTATGAAGTTTTTTGATAACGTTGACTTTGATCTTGACTTTGAATGTGACCTAGTGGAAAAAGCACAGATAATTAAATCTGACAAACCTCCCATTTTACAAGCATTTTAACCATGGTGCAGTAGTTTATTCTGAGCTTCAGTTTCCTCATGTTTGGAAGGAAGTAATACCCACTTTGTAGTGTTAGAGATTATGCATATATGATATTTAATACATAGTTTTTAATACCATTATTAGTTTTATACCAGGAATATAAATACCAATATAATCTTATTACTGCTCATCTGAGTTGGGAGCATTGTTAGTCACACCACTTTCTGTTCTTACCTAAATTAATCTCCTACAGCTTGTTTTCTTTTTCTTCCTTTTGTTTTTTTTGAGACAGAGTTTCACATTGTCACACAGGCTGGAGTGCAATGGTACCATCTTGGCTCACTGCAGCCTCCGCCTCCCAGGTTCATGCGATTATCCTGCCTCAGCCTCCTGAGTAGCTGGCATTACAGGAACATACCACTACACCTGGCTAATATTCTGTATTTTTAGTAGAGACGGGGTTTCACTATGTTAGCCAGACTGGTCTCAAACTCCTGACCTCGCGATCTGCCCACCTTGGCCTCCCGAAGTGCTGGGATTACAGGCATGAGCCACCATGCCCAGCTTTACAACTTGTTTTGTATCTGTTACAAGGTATTTAAGTTTTGTCAGGTAAGAGATTTAAAAAAACAAAATTTTTAAAAACTCTCAAAAAGAATTTAAGGTCCAGGTACAGTGGCTCATACCTGTAATCTCAGCTACTTGGGAGGCTAGGGTGGGAGAATTACTTGAGCCCATGAGTTTGAGATCAGCTATGGCAACATGGCAAGACCCCATCTCTATTTTTTTTTTTTTTAATCTTTTTTTGGTGGGAGAGACAGAGTCTCACTCTGTCACCCAGGCTTGAGCGCAGTGGTGTGATCTCAGCTGTTTCCAACCTCCATCTCCCAGGTTCAAACAATTCTCATGCCTGAGCCTCCTGAGTAGCTGGGATTAAAGGCGTGTGCCACCATACCCGGCTAATTTTTTGTATTTTTGAGTAGAGACAAGGTTTTGCCATGTTGGCCAGTCTGGTCTTTGAACTCCTTGCCTTAAATGATCTGCCCATGTTGGCTTTCCAAAGTACTGGGATTATATGCGTGAGCCACTGTACCTGGCCTTAATCTCTTTAATAAAAAAAAAAAAAAAAAAAGAATTAGCCAGGAGTGGTGGCACACACCTGTGGTCCCAGCTACTCAGGAGGCTAAGGTGGGAGGATCACTTGAGCCCAGAAGGTAGAGGCTGCAGTGAGCCATGATTATACCATTGCACACTCCCGTCTGAATGACAAAGCAAGACCGTATCTGAAAGAAAAGAATTTTTATCACGTTCTATAAATGTCTCTTGGAAAATGAGATTTGGAAGTTATCAGTGGTTTTAAACCTCTAAAATAATAACTAACCTAACATACCAGACAGTTTTACTTTGTTTCCCTGTGAGCATTACTGTCAACTTATAGTTCATTCAGCCTAGAGATAATAACTCCATTTAGTATATTTGCAGAAATTTGGAGACATTATACTACACTTTCTGTAATCTCAAATAAAATCGGATAGTTAAAATAATACATCATGTTTGTGTAGGGGTTTTACCAGTCTATAATGCATTTAAAATATACTCTTATTTAATAAACTTGCAACAAATCTGTAAGATAAGAATTATTATTTCTATTTTTACAGATAAAGAAACTAAAGGTCAATAAAGCAGTAGAATTAGTACTTGCAAAATTCTTCTAATTCCAAGTAGACTACTCTTTCTACTTGATCACATATTTTATATTTAATGAGAATTCCGACAGATATTTATATTGTCATGTTACAAGCAGTAAAACTTGCCTAGCAACCTTTATACCAAATGAACCTCCTTGTACCAGATACTTTTATAAAATTAGTTTTTCTGTCTACAGGAGGATCTTTGGTCTATTTTATAGACCTGGCAGATAGCATTGAACAGTTACGCACTTAAGTCAGTAAGGTTTTTATGACTATTCTTGGAGAAGACACAGTAGCCTATCTTTAAAAATAATTGGGTAAATCTAAGCTCTCTTAGCTCATTGCCTGCTAATGTGAGTTTTCCTGTTTTGGGGAAGTAGAAGCAAGCAGAGCCCCAGTACACAAAAATATAATTTATAATAGTTTAATAAAAACTTATATGAATTACTAATTTTTCTTTGTATGACAGAAAAAATGTGAGCGCTATTGGCCTTTGTATGGAGAAGACCCCATAACATTTGCACCATTTAAAATTTCTTGTGTAAGTATCAGTTTTTAAAAATTTTTTTTCAGAAAATTGGCAAGCTAAACTGATGAATAATTGTAATGTGGTATGAACCCAGGTTTATAGACACCAAGGACTCACAAATCTATGCTTACATTTTAAAAAATTATTTGTTTATATACTGCTTTTAATTTGGACACTTTTGGGATGACTTCATAAATGTATGCTCTCCTTGTATCTTACTGTATTAATTTTGTGTTAGTCTTTGTGTATCAATTGATAGTGTTAAATGTAGCAACTGTGCTTTTAGTATTTGGAAATAGCATATTCATTTCAAATTGGTTAAATGGGAAAGAGTTGATAACTAGAGTATAGTTTATCATATTAACCCTTCATATCTGTATTGTGCTCTCAAAAATTGTTATAATTATGTATAAAGATAAGTTTAAGAACTGCCATCCTGGAAGTAAAGATTGATCCTTTTTGGCAGATTATTTGATATGAAACTTAAAATGTTTTCTCTTTTCTTTTCTTTTTTTTTTGAGACGGAGTTTCGCTCTTGTTACCCAGGCTGGAGTGCAATGGCGCAATCTCGGCTCACTGCAACCTCCGCCTCCTGGGTTCAGGCAATTCTCCTGCCTCAGCCTCCTGAGTAGCTGGGATTACAGGCATGCGCCACCACGCCCAGCTAATTTTTTGTATTTTTTAGTAGAGACGGGGTTTCACCGTGTTGACCAGGATGGTCTCGATCTCCCGACCTCGCGATCCACCCGCCTCAGCCTCCCAAAGTGCTGAGATTACAGGCTTGAGCCACCGCGCCCGGCTAGAATGTTTTCTTACTATATAATGACCTTTGGAAATGAATTGAATTCAAGCTCAAAAGCTAACACAGCAAAAACCTGAGAAAATGAACCAAAAAACAAAAACAGTGAAGGAAATAAGAGGAATAGGAAAAATAAAAGACAAGGACAAAAAGAAGAAAAATGTTAGTGAATTTTAAAATAGAACCAACAGTTTTCTTTAGGTGCCATAAAAAGACTGTAATTGAACATAACATAAAAATTAATTAATCTAGGCCAGGCACAGTGACTCATGCCTGTAATTCCAGCACTTTGAGAGGTTGAGGTGGATGGATCACTTGAGGTCAGGAGTTTGAAACCAGCCTGGCCAACATGGTAAAACCCTATCTCTACTAAAAATACAAAAAAAGACCAGTCACAGTGGTTCACACCTGTAATCCCGGCACTTCGGGAGGCTGAGGCGGGCAGGTCACCCGAGGTTAGGAGTTTGAGACTAGCCTGACCAACATGGGGAAACCCTGTCTCTACTAAAAATACAAAATTAGCTGGGCATGGGGACGCATGCCTGTAATCCCAGCTACTTAGGAGGCTGAGGTAGGAGAATCGCTTGAACCCAGAGGCAAAGGTTGCAATGAGCTGAAGTTGCACCATTACAGTCCAGCCTGGGCAGCAAGAGCAAAACTCCATCTCAAAAAAAAATAAAATACAAAACTTAGCCAGATGTGGTGGCATGCACCTGTAATCCCAGCTACTCAGGAGGCTGAGGCATGAGAATTGCTTGAACCTGGGAGGTGGAGATTGCAATGAGCTGAGATCATATCACTGCGCTACAGCTTGGGTGACAAGAGCAAAACTCCATCTCAAAAAAAAATTTTTTTATATTAATTTGCCCATATTAGGGTTCTCCAGAGAAACAGAACCAATAGAATAGGAGTGTGTGTGCACACATTTGTGTGCATGTGTAATACATTTAAAGAGGTTTATCTTGAGGAATTGGCTCAGGCAGTTATGGAGGCTGACAAGTCCAAAATCTGCAGGGTAGGTTGGAGATCCAAGAGAGCCAATGCTACAGTTCCAGTCTGAATGATAATAATCTGGAGACCCAGGAGAGCTGATGTTTAGTTGTAGTTTGAAAAATCTGTTGTAGAACCAGGAGGAGCCAATGTTGCAGATGAAGACAGCCTGCTGGAGAATTCTGTCTTGCTTCAGATTGATCCCTCTTGTTGTATTCAGGCCTTCAACAAATTGGATGAGGCTCACCAAGATTACAGAGAACAGTTTGCTTGACTCAGAGACTACCAATTTAAATGTTAATTCCTCCAAAAACAGTCTCACAGAAATAACTAGAATAATGTTTGACCAAATATTCTGGGCACACTGTCACCCAGCCAAGTTGACAGATAAAATTATCACATTCCCTGTCTCAGAGTTTCTTGTTTTTGACTTTGTTTTCCATGATTAAATGAAATATAATTTCTGTGGTTTTACTTGTCATTGCTGAGTTCAAGAACTCCATAATTTTATGACTTAGTTATACTTAAGAGATTTCTGTCATATATACCCAACATTTAGTGCTTTCTAGGTTGACATAGAAAGGGAAAGAACTGAATCTGTATTATGCTGTCTGCTTTATGAATCAATATTGTTTCTGTAATATTAACTGTAACTCACAATTGAACTTTTTGGATGTAATATTCAGTCAGTATTCTTCAGGTGCTGATTAGAATTAACTATTTGTGGGGTAAGTAAAACTTTTAGGCCAGGCACTGTGGCTCACCCCTGTCATCCCAGCATTTTGGGAGGCTAAGGTGGGGAGGATTGCTTGAGCCCAGGAGTTTGAGACTAGCCTGGGCAAAATAGACATTTTTAGCATTTTTAAAAAGGTTAAAAATCCGACTGCATTTTATTTTATTGGGCATGAATAACATCCAATACACACCACACTGTCTACTTCACTGAAGAAACGCCAGCCCTCCTTCACCAATCCAGAAAGAATTCTGTAATATTAGATTCCGCGACAGTGTAGAAACCTACTTCCGTGTACCGTGGTTGTTTTGGATATTTGTAAATTTATTTATTTTTAAAAGTTTTATTTATTTGTATATATCTTTTTGAGACAGGATTTTGCTCTGTCACCCACGTTGGAGTGCAGTGGTGTGATCATGGCCCACTGCAGCCTCAGTCCCCCAGGCTCAAGCGATTCTCCTACCTCAGCCTCCTGAGTAGCTGGGGCTACTGGCAAGAGCTAAAACTAATTTTTGTGTTTTTTGTAGAGACGGGGGTCTCCCTATGTTGCCCAGGCTGATCTTGAACTCCTGAGCTCAAGCAGTTTGCCTGCTTTGGCCTCTCAAAGTACTAGGACTACAGGCACAAGCCACCATATCCAGCCAAACATTTGCAAATTTAGATGTAATAGGATAACTATAGTGAATATTGCAATTCAAGTAAAAATACAGTACTTAACATTCAGCAACAAACCAACTTGAAATTTTTGAACATTTGGGAGTCCAGAATGTTCAACAATTTATAATAATGGATATAGGGAAGAATGTAATAGTTTTATAACTTAGAAAATGAATTGATTCTTGAGGGGATGGTTTTTCAATTAAACTAAAAGATATATCTCTATAAGTGGTTCACAAAGAGAAAAAAATGGAGAAAGATTTATTAAAAGGAAAAAAGTAGATAACTTCTAAGGTCTAGATAAGTGGTTTGACTTGATTAGTAATGACTGGTTTAATTTGTCAGCCAGGGTTGACTCATACTGAAGAAATATTTTCTTTGATGATTTAAAATTGGAAGGTATTTTCTTGTCTTGTAATTGTTTTAGACAACTCAGGATTTGTTATCATGGACTTAGTTGCAAACAAAAATCAAATTTATAAATAGAAAGCATGTCAGTAAAAATAATCATAGTCACTTGACTACTTGGCAGGCAGTTTGAGACTGAGAAATGACAGTGTTTTCTGGAACTCTATTGAAGTGGGATGAGGACAAGGGTAAAGTGGTATTGTAAGGATGAAGACTGGTTAGCAGCAGCTCAATCACATGTTGCTGCATGTAGCCACTTAGATTACATATCAGCACACTACCTAAGGGTCACATCTAGCCCACTGCCTGTTTTGTAAATAAAGTTTTATTAGAACACATCTTTGCCCATTAATTTATGGATTTATGTATCACAATAGCAAAGTTGGATAGACAAAGACTTTTATGGTCCAAAAAAAGCAAAAGCATTTACTATATGGTCCTTTACAGAAATATTACTTGAAAAAGTTCAAATGTTATATGAAAAGTTCAAAGTAAATTACTGTGATTTCAAAAAGTAGCTGGGCATGGTGGTACATGCCTGTAGTCCCAGCTGCTTAGGAGGCTGAGGCAGGAGAATTGCTTGAACCAGGGAGTCAGAGGTTGCAGTGAGCCAAGATCGTGTGCCTGCACTCCAGCCTGGCGCCAGAGTGAGAGTCTTGTCTAAAAAAAAGGCAGGTATAATAGTGAGTATTATTTTTATTAATAAAACAACATACACTATTGTTCTTCATAATCCCTGTTTTAAACTATCCGTGGTTTTAACCAATAAGGCAGAAATAATAATTTGCTTAGTGATAGACTGGTATAGATTAATGCTTTGATTAAATCACAGTGAGAAACCTTAAAAGTGGCTATGTTATCATCAACCACAATAATAATAATAATAATAATAATTCGGAGTATTCTTTCCCCTTCCTTCTTCAGTTGCTATCTAGTTAATTGAAACTTGAATGTTAGGGAAAATCATGCATTAAAAGGTAAAATGGTTGAAGATGGTATATGGTGGTTGATAGTGAGGAATGACAATCTGTTTGTATTATTTTTGTTACATGATTCTGGGGGTGGTTACTACTTTTTAAATATTTTATTGGATAATAGATGCCAAATTGTTTAGATACTTTTTTTTTTTAGGTATAAGTAAAACTCACATAAACTGATTTTTTTTTAACTGTACATACATGTTTGTTTGTTTGTTTTTGAGACAGAGTCTCGCTCTGTCGCCTAGGCTGGCACAATCTCGCCTACCTGCAACCTCCGCCTTCTGGGTTCAAATGATTCTCCTGCTTCAGCCTCCAGAATAGCTGAATAGCCATCACATCCAGCTAATTTTTGTATTTTTAGTAGAGATGGGGTTTCACTATGTTGCCTAGGCTGGTTTCGAACTCCTGACCTCAAATGAACCCCCTGCTTTGGCCTCCCAAAGTGCTGGGATTACAGGCATGAGCCACTACGCCTGGCCTATATAAGTTTTTTAACTCCATTCTCAAATTCACTTGGCTTATTCGTACATATTGTTTAGGTTGTCTGATAGAAGACTATTCTGGTACGAGACTTTTTTTTGCTTAAGATTTTCTTTAGTTTTTTGTTTTGAGAAAGTCTCAGTGTCACCCAGACTGGAATGCATTGGTGTGGTCACAGCTCACTGTAGCCTCCGCCTAACTGCTGGACTCACTGTTCCTCCCACCTCAACCTCCCAAGTAGCTGAGCCCACAAGCCTGTGCCTCAGTCCTGAGCTAATTTTTGTGTTTTTGTTTGTTTGTTTGTTTGTTTTTTATAGAGACAAGTGTTTTGCCATGTTGTTTAGGCTGGTTTTGAACTCCTAGGCTAAAGCAATCCACCTACCTCAGCCTCCCAAAGTACTTGTATTACAGGCATGAGCCACCGCCCCCAGCCTTTTTTAGAACACTTTTAGATTCACATCAAAATTGAGAGGAAGGTAGAGAGATTTTTCTATATATACCCCGCCCCCGCATATAGTCCTCTCATGATCAACATTCCCTACCAGAGCAGTCCCTTTGTTACAGTTCACAGACCTACATTGACAAGTCATTATCAGCAAGAGTTCACAGTTTACTTTAGGCTTCATTCTTTTTATACATTCTGTGTGTTTGGACAAATATATGATGACGTGTATCCACCATTGTAGTATCATACAGAATAGTGTCATTGCTCTCAAAGTCCTGTGCTCCACCTGTTCATTCATTCCTCTCACCCCTTTCCCAAACCTAGGTAGTCACTATGTTTACTGTCTCCATAGTTTTGCCTTTTCCAGAAGTCACATAGTTTGTTTTGAGATGGAGTCTCCCTGTGTCACCCATGCTGGAGTGCAGTGGCAATATCTCAGGTCACTGTAACCTCCGCCTCCTGGGTTCAAGCGAGTCTCCTTCCTCAGCCTCCTTGAGTAGCTGGGATTACTGGTGTGTCCCACTATGTCCAGCTAATTTTTGTATTTTAGTGGAGATGGAGTTTTACCATGTTGGCCAGGCTGGTATCAAACTCTGACCTCAAGTGATCCACTTACTTTGGCCTCCCAAAGTGCTGGGATTATAGGTATGAGCCATTGCTCCCAGCACAGAAGTCATACAGTTTGAATCATACAGTATGTAGTCTTTACAGATTGGCTTCTTTCACTTCATAATGTACATTTAGGGTTCACCCATGTCTTTTCATGGATTACTAGCTCTTTTTTTCCCTTTATTATTATTTTTAATTGACTTATAATATCTATACTTATTAATGGGATACAGTGTGATTTTGGTACATATATGTATAATTTACAATGTGGAATGATCAAATCAGGATAATTAGCATGTCTTGTCACCTCAAACGTCTGCAAATTGATGACTTTTAGAATTTTTAAAATAATGGTCAGGTACATCTGGAATTTTAAAGATTAATTTTATGTTGTAGACTTTAATACATGTATTTTGTTTTGATATGTCTTTTTGTTTTGGTGTTTTCACTGACTTACAAATGTTTCTCTTTATTTAGGAGGATGAACAAGCAAGAACAGACTACTTCATTAGGACACTCTTACTTGAATTTCAAAATGTAGGTACTTTCTGTTTATAGATTGTCTCTAAGAATAGTTTCCAGGCCAGGTGCAGTGGCTCATGCCTGTATTCCCATCACTTTGGGAGACTGAAGCTGGAGGGTGACTTGAGTCGAGGGGTTCAAGACTAGTCTGGGCAACATAGTGAGATCTTCTCTCTACAAAAAGGAAAAAGTCAGCCAGGCATGGTGGCATGTGTCCATAGTCCCACTCACTCAGAAGGCTGAGCCCAGGAGATTGAGGCTGCAGTGAGCCTTAATTGTGCCGCTGCATTCCAGCCTAGGCAACAGAACAAGACTCTTTCTCAAAAACATTTTTGAGAATAGTTTGAGAATAGAGAATGGTTTGAGAATAGAGAAGATACAGAGAGGGAGGGGAGCATGGACTGAAAAACCACATATTGGGTAGTAAGCCTAATACCTGAGTGATAGGATCATTTGTATCCCAGACCTCAGTGTTACACAATATACTCATGTGACCTGCACATGTACCCTTTAATCTGAAATAAAAGTTGAGGCCAGTTGTGGTGGCTCATGCCTGAAATCCCCAGCACTTTGGGAGGCTGAGGCAGTCAGATCACTTGAGGCCAGGAGTTCAAGACCAGCCTGGCCAACATGGCAAAGCCCCATCTCTACTAAAAAAATAACAAAAATAACCAGGCGTGGTGGTGCACACCTATAATCCCAGCTACTTGGAAGGCTGAGGCAGGAGAATTGTTTGAGCCTGGGAGATGGTGCGGTGGTGCAGTCTTGGCTCACTGCAGCCTGTCTCCGTGTGCCACTGCGCTCCACCCTGGGCGACAGAGCAAGACTCTGTCTCAAAAAATAAAATAAATTTTAAAAAATAAAATAGAAACCAGAATCCTTACTACTGCCTAAATGTTTTATTTGGTAAAATGGGTTTGCTAGAAAATTGTTTTGCTTTATATCTGCTTTATAGGTTTTTTGTAAGTAAAAAAAGTATCAGGAATTTTTATTTTTAAAGCACATTTTTGCAAACTAATAAACTTTTGGCAACTAAAAAAATAAAGAAGCTATATAAATAGCATACCATGTTATTTAACATAGTTAAGGAAATTTGCTGATTTTTTAGTTATAAAGATGAAAATGGGAGTGTATTAATTTTATTTAGTGTCTTGACATTTCTGCTCATCACATTATATAATAAAGTAGTGTTAATTATAGCATTACCTAAATGTATTAAATTTGGAGTAGTTATGCCTTCTTTGCCGCAAATATTTTTCCTCTATTACAGTAAGCAGATTATTGCATTGTTTATATAATTATTACCCTGTTTTATTAGTTTACAATTTGTTAAAGAAAAGTCACCATCAAAGCTAAGTCTTCATTTAGATATATATTCTTTTTAGTTGAGGCTCACTGCTCTGCCCACCCCTACCTTTTTTTTTTTTTAAATGCAGCAAGGTCTCATTATATATTGCCAAGGCTGAACTTGAACTTCTGAACTCAAGCAGTTCTCCCACCTTAGCCTTCTGAGTATATGAGACTGCAGGCATGAGCCACCAAACCCAGCTAAATTTTTTATAGTTTATAGAAATGAAGTCTTGCTGTGTTGCTTAGGCTGCTGTCAAACTCCTGGCCTTAAGTGATCTTGCCTCTTGGGTTGGCCTCCCAAAGTGTTGGGATTACAGGTGTGAACCACTGAGTCTGGCCTGGTTGCTAATTTTTTAATCTACAGTAATAATAATTACCTTTTTGAATTTCTGTAGTAGGTCAGACATCTCAATTCTCCTAAATGCATATTATCCAGATAATATTATGTCCAATGCACATAGATGAAGATACAGAAGCTTTTAAGTAGAATTTGAATATGGTTTTGCGTAGATTCCGAGTATTACTCTTAGATTCCGAATATTGTTCTACAATAACCATTCTCAAAAAACATTTGACACCAGTACTCCTTTACATTCTTCAGAGTTATTGAGGATCCTAAAGAGTTTTTGTTTCTGTGGGTTGTATCTTTCAGTATGTACTAGATTTGAAATTAAAACTGAGAAATGTTTTAAAAACATGAATATATAAGCATATATTGTATTGCCCGTTAAAGAATAAGGCAAGTAACATTTTAGTATTATTCTGAAAATTATTGAAAGCTTATAGACCCCGTAAAAAGTGTGGGGGGTTACCCAAACCATACATTGAGAACCACTAATATGTAAGAAGACAAGTGAGTTTAGGATTAGACAGATTCATCTCTCAGTTCTTTTTGCGTTTATGTTCTATTAGTCTTCTAATTACAATGGATATTACTCTAACATAGTGGTTGTGGTATATTGCTCATCCATTCAATAGTGTGGATTGGTTAAATAGTATATATAGTGTAATGTTTAAAGTACATGCTCTGGAAGTAGAACTGCCTGGTTTAGAGCCCACGTTTGTCACTTCTTTTGAAACTTTGGGCAAGTTATTTTATCTGTGTGTCCCAGTTATAAAATGAGGGTAGTATTAACAGTATTTTCCTCATGGAAATTAAATAAATTGTTACATGTGAAGCCCTTAGATACTTGGCATGTGGTAAATAGTCAATAAGTGTTGGCTATTATTTATTTGGGTTTTTTTAAAAGCAGTGCTAAATGCCACATAAATTTCTTAGGAATGGCAGTTAAATGAGAGGTGCAGCTTTAAATTTTGTGAAATATTTTCCTAATTGTTGACTTTCTGTTTTTCTCGAAGGAATCTCGTAGGCTGTATCAGTTTCATTATGTGAACTGGCCAGACCATGATGTTCCTTCATCGTTTGATTCTATTCTGGACATGATAAGCTTAATGAGGAAATATCAAGAACATGAAGATGTTCCTATTTGTATTCATTGCAGGTACAGAAGAATTTCCCAAGTTTATAAATAACAATATTTTTGATTTAAGTTTGATGTTACATAAGGTTTTATTTTTGCATCAATATTATAGTAATCTTGAATTTCTCCTAGCCTTGATATAACGTTTGGGACTAGGGCCTTGTAAATTAACGTGGTCTAATCTGGTTGACAGACTGTTTATTGTTGCATTAAAACAGGATCATCTATCTGAAAATAGTATTCACATGGTGGAAAGCTATTGAACGTATTATTTTTACTGTTCACTGATTAGAGCATATAATCTCAGATGCTCATCATGCTCTATTTTTTAAAGTCAATGTAGTAGTATTTTCTTTTAATCAATTTCCCTGAAACCATGACCAAGCAATTTTCATTCCTGATAAACACTGACATGAGATTTTTATAAACAGCATATCGCTCTGATGCCCAAGCTGGAGTGGAGTGGTACAATCATAGTTCACTGTAAACTCAAACTCTTGGCCTTAAGTGATCCTTTTGCCTCAGCTTCCCAAGTAGCTAGGACTACAGGTGTGTGCTACCACACTGAACTAATTTTTTTTTTTTTAAGAGACCAGGTATTGCTCTGTTGCTCAGGCGGATCCTAACTCCTGTCCTCAAGTGATTCTCCTTCTTTGCTCTCCAAGAGCTTTGGGATTATAGGCATAAGCCACTATGCCTGGCAACATGACTTTCTTTTTTTTTTGAAACAGAGTCTTGCTCTGTTGCCCAGGGTGGAGTGCAGTGGCACCATCTCAGCTCAATGCAACCTCTGCCTCCTGGGTTCAAACACTTCTTCTGCCTCATCCTCCCAAATAGTTAGGATTACAGGCGCACATTACCACACTTGGATGATTTTTGTATTTTTAGTTGAGTTGGGGTTTCACCATATTGGCCATACTGGTCTCGAACTCTTGACCTCATGATCCAGCCACCTCGGCCTCTCAAAGTGCTTGGATTACAGATGTGAGCCACCGTGCCTGGCCAGACAGGAGTTTTATAGTAAAGTAATAAAAACTGTTGATACACATTTACTAGATAATTTTTATTAAGTTTTATAGTGTATTACTTCATTATAAGCATTACATTTAAATTCAGTGATTACTGACCTTGTTAAATAAGCTACCTCTGAATATGAAAGTACAGGTATAGGCATGTCTACTTTAAATTGCTCAATGGAAATCTTTTCGTATATTCAAATAATATTTGAAGTTCAGTTAGGTTTTGCAAAATTACTCATTTAGATGGGTTGAGAAGTTATATCAACTCTGCCTTTGACTTTTAGGGGAATGAACATGAGATGATTTATTCTCAGGGGGCAGTTAATTTAGTATTCTAGAAGGGAGTTAATTCTAATATAATTTTATCTAAGAGAAATCAGTTTAAGATAACCAGTTTTTCTTGATCTAACATTTTGGCTTATTTCTGTCATCTGGTCATTCTCATGATACAAATAATACAAAGCTAAATATGTAATATGTAGCTAATACATTCACATGTAATACAAAGCTAAATATACCTAATAGATATATACATATACACATATAGGTATATGTATACGTTATGTACAGTACATAATGCAAATATAAATTTGTGTTGTGGATTTAGGAATGTAATGGAAAATACCCTTTTAAAAGGAAAAGCACAAAATTGAATTAGTTGAGAAAATATTAAATGTTTGCAATAGGTGTCATGGCTGGGTGTAGTGGCTTAGTGCTTTGGAAGGCCGAGGCAGGAGGATTGCTTAAACCCAGAAGTTTGAGGCTGCAGTAAGCTGTGATTGCACTACTGCACTCCAGCCTGGGTGACATAGTAGACCCTATCTCCTAAAAAAAAGAATATAGGTATCATTATGATATGGGTGATATATAGGGTATTTTGAAACCTAATTTTTGGAATTTTATTATATAGGTATTGGTTTCTACCTAGCAGAAGCTACTTGAATCCTTAGTCAGTTTTTCTTCTCTGAATTTTTAGTTTACATTAGATTCTTCTAAAAGCCTTACAGTCATAATACTTATTTCATAAGACTGCTATCAGTTTATTTCTCTAAGACACTTGTTATCTGCATTCACATTTGTTATAAAAAGTAAATGAGATTTTTCAAACTTAGAGGTTTTTGATTATTTACATAGTTAAAATATTTTTTCAGTGGAGTTGAAGCGCTGAAAATAGTTTTCTTGTTCACTTAGTCTGATTGTAATGCTTATAATTAATGAAGTAAAAGGGCTGCTTTTTATTTATGGACCAGGAAAGTAACTTGCTGGTAGAGATGTGGGAGTCAGTTAACAACTTGGTTCATTAAAACAACTTTTTTCTGCCAGGCGCAGTGGCTCACACCTGTAATCCCAGAACTTTGGGAGGCCGAAGCGGGTGGATCATGAGGTCAAGAGATAGAGACCATCCTGGTCAACATGGTGAAACCTCTTCTCTAGTAAAAATTCAAAAATTAGCTGGGTAAGGTGGCGTGCACTTATAGTTCCAGCTACTCAGGAGACTGAGGCAGGAGAATCACTTGAACTTGGGAAGTAGAGGCTACAGTGAGCTGAGATCACACCATTGCACTCCAGTCTGGGCAACAGTGAGACTTCGTATCAAAAAAAACAATACACAAAATTTTTTTCTGTGGTTAATTCGGGGGTTAGTTGACCATTTAATTAAGTAGAATTGACTAGTTAAAAATAATATATTTAATTATAGAATTAAAAGATAAAGAAATTGCTTTCACTTCTTACAAGTTAGTTAAAATTATTTCCTGTTCAATTATAAATTCATTTGTTTAGGAAGGCTTTTCATCAAAAAATAAATTGACCATTAAATATTTTTAAACAACCAAAACAATTTGTTAACTGCAATGACTTAGAAAACACATCCATAAAAGGAAGGAAATTCTTTTTCTTTCCACTAGTTCCGCTGTAGATAACCATTGTTAAAACTCAAGAATGTGTCCTTTCAGTGTGTTTATGTGTGTGTATGGTATTGTTTTGTTTTGTTTGACCGAGTTTCACTCTTGTTGCCCTGGCTGGAGTGCAGTGGCACAGTTTCGGCTCACTGCAACCTCCGCCTTCTGGGTTCAAGCGATTCTCCTGCCTCCACCTCCCGAGTAGGTGGGATTACAGGCGCATGCCACTACATCCAGCTAATTGTTGTATTTTTAGTAGAGATAGGGTTTCACTATGTTGGCCAGGCTGGTCTCCAACTCCTGACCTCAGGTGATCCACCCTCGTTGGCCTCCCAAAGTGCTGGGATAACAGGCATGATCCATTACTCCTGGCCTGTATATGTAGTATTGTTTTAAAAGAATGTTTCCCCATTCAGTATGTCATGTACATTTTTCTAGATCATGTAAATATTATTCTACAGTATGCAATAACTGCACTATATATTTAACCTTACTCTTTGCTATTTAATTTATTACCTTTCTCCCCATTCTTTTTCATCTATTTTAAACAACAGTTTAAGTGCTCAGTGGCCACTCTCTTTTTTGTTTTTGATTTGCTTAACTGGCCAGTCTTGTTGTTAAATCTTTGAGCACATCTGCAGTTATTAGGATAAATGTATTATTGGATAAATATCCAGAAGTGAGATTTCTTGGTTAAAGGATATAAACTTTTAAAGTATTTTAATGAGTATTTTTTAATGTGCTATCTAGAAAATTGACGCCACTTAATCCTACTACTGGCAGTATGTGGGAGTACCTATTTCCTATACCTTCCCCAATACTGTGTGTTATCTTTCTGTTTGCCTTTTTTTTTTTTTTTTTTTTTAATGAAATCTTGCTTTGTTGCTTGGGCTTGAGTGTAGTGGCATGATCTTGGCTCACTGTAACCTTGACCTTCCGGGTTCACGCAATTCTCCTGTCTCAGCCTCCCAGGTAGCTGGGATTACAGACGCACCACCACACCCAGCTAATTTTTTGTATTTTTAGTAGAGATGGGGTTTCTCTGTTTTGGCCAGACTGGTCTTGAACTTCTGACCTCATGATCTACCTGCCTTGGACTTCCATATGCTGGGATTATAGGTGTGAGCCACCATGCCTGGCCTTTGTTTTCTCTTTAAATGCCTGTGTGAATGGCAACGGTTTTTTTTCTTCCTTGTTTATATTCTGTGAATTTCTTGTTTGTATGCTTTGCCTACTATTAAATAGCAGACATTCATCTTTATTATTATTATTATTATTATTATTATTTTGAGCCAGAATTTTACTTTCTTTGCTTAGGCTGGAGTGCAATGGCATGATATTGGCTCAAAACCTCTGCCTCCCGGGTTCAAGTTATTCTCCTGCCTCAGCCTCCCAAGTAACTGGGATTACAGGCATGAGCCACCATGCCCGGCTAATTTTGTATTTTTTAGTAAAGATGGGGTTTCTCCATGTTGGTCAGGCTGGTCTTAAACTCCCAACCTCAGGTGATCCGCCCACCTTGGCCTCCCAAATTGTTGGAATTATAAGCATGAGCCACTGTACCCAGCCTCATCTTTTAATAATTATACAAATTCTTTATATATTGAGGATATTAACTTTTAGTCATGTTGTAAGTAAGATGGTTTTTCCTGTCTTCTGCCTGTTTGGCATACATAAGCCTTTTTTGAGCTGAGAAGCAGTTGTTTTCAAATATTTTTGTCATGTGTTTCTTTCTTTCTTCTTTCTTTTTTTTTTTTTTGAAACGGAGTCTCACTCTGTTGCCCAAGTTGGAGTGCAATGGTGTGATCTTGGCTCACTACAGCCTCTGCCTCCCAGGTTCAGGTGATTCTCCTGCCTCAGCCTCCCAAGTAGCTGGGATTACAGGTTCCCACCACCATGCCTGGCTAATTTTTTTTGTATCTTTAGTAGAGACATGGTTTACCATGTTGACCAGGCTGGTCTCGAGCTCCTGACCTCTGGTGATCCACTCACATTGACCTCTAAAGTGCTGGGATTACAGTTGTGAGCAACCGCGCCCAGCCTGTCATGTTTTTTGTTTTTGTTTTTGTTTTTTGTTTTTTTTGAGACGGAGTTTCCCTCTTGTTACCCAGGCTGGAGTGCAATGGCGCGATCTCGGCTCACCGCAACCTCCGCCTCCTAGGTTCAGGCGATTCTCCTGCCTCAGCCTCCTGAGTAGCTGGGATTACAGGCACGCGCCACCATGCCCACCTAATTTTTTGTATTTTTAGTAGAGACGGGGTTTCACCATGTTGACCAGGATGGTCTCGATCTCTTGACCACGTGATCCACCCGCCTCGGCCTCCCAAAGTGCTGGGATTACCGGCTTGAGCCACCGCGCCCAGCCCAGCCTGTCATGTTTTAAAATAAAAAACCTGTGGTATGTTACTCTACATTCCCCAGCTCCCATTAGTTTTTTTGGGATATGAGAGCATATCATTGTCTTGTTCTTTTGATGAAATCACTGCTGTTGCTCAATCTATTTTCTAGGGCTTGTAGCATTCTGCACCTTTCCTATACCTTCTATAGATTGAAATGATGGCGATATTTCCTTCTGTACTCTAAAACAATAACACCTTTTTTTTCTTTTGAGATGGAGTTTTGCTCTTGTCACCCAGGCTGGAGTGCAATGGTGTGATCTTGGACCACTGCAACCACCACCTCCCAAATTCAAACTATTCTCCTGGCTCGGCCTCCCAAATAGCTGGGATTACATGTGCCTGCCACCCACCCAGCCTACTATGTGTTTTTTAGTAGAGATGGGGTTTCAACCATGTTGGCCAGGCTGTTCTCAAATTTCTGACCTCAAGTGATCCACCCGCCTAGGTCTCCCAAAGTGTTGGAATTACAGGCATGAGCTGCTGCGCCCAGCCACAAGAGCCATCTTGAACATAAAATAAATATGTCTCTGCAAAGGTGTTGTCAGCTAGTCACGTTTTCTGATGTAGTAGACTTCCAGAGTCACGGCATAGTAGCCATTCTGAGTCACTTACTCTTGGAAGTTCGTAAATTATTTTTTTTTTTCTTTTTGAGATGGAGTTGCGCTGTTAGCCAGGCTGGCATTGGTGCCATCATTGCTCAGTGCAGCTTTGACCTCCCAGGCTCAAGTGATCCTCCTGCCTTTGCCTCCTAAAGTGCTGGAACAACAGTTATAAGCCCCTGTGCCCAGCCCCTTAAATGAAATGTTTAAAAGATAGACAATAGGCCCTCCATATTCATGACTTCCAATTTCTTCAGTCTCAGTTACTCATAGTCCAAAAATATCAAATGGAAAATTTCAAAGGTAAACAATTTGTAAGTTTTAGATGCTGCACCATTCTAAGAAGCGTGGGAAGTATGTCATGCCTGAGAGATAAATCATCCCATAGTCCATTGTAGACTCTACCAACCCATTAGTCACACAGTAGGCATTGCAGTTATCAAATAGACTGTCATGATGTCCTAATGCTTATGATCAGGCGTCACTTATTTTACTTATAATGGCCCAAACCTCAAGAGAAGTGATATTGGCAGATTGTTATCATTGTCTAGTTTGTTACTAGTTATTGTTGTTAATCTCCTGTTGTGCCTGATTTATAAATTAAACTTCATCATAGGTATGCACATATAGGAAAAATCATAGTGTTTATGTGTACTATGTTACGGATCTTGCCATGAACATACTTTAAGTTGTATTTTGTTTGCTAAGTAGAATTTTGTCAAACTTCTTAAATGATTTTTTTTGTTTCCGAATATTAACATATCCATCCACATTTATTTTATAGTTCTTTTGTCACAAAAATCAAATTACTTTTTTCAAACTTTGTATCCTTAGTGCAGGCTGTGGAAGAACAGGTGCCATTTGTGCCATAGATTATACATGGAATTTACTAAAAGCTGGGGTAAGAACAATTTTTTTGTAGCATTATATCCAGTTGATCTATTGCAGTTTTCATATTTAATCATTAATTGCAGTAAATTATAGTGTATATTTTATTATACATGTGATTTTTCTGAAATAGTTTTATTAAGTAAGAAATAAAGATAGTGAATGCGATGCTCGGTGGCTTACTTCTGTTATACCAGAACTTTGGGAGGCCAAGGTGGGAGGATCGCTTGAGCCCAGAAGCTCAAGACCAGCCTGGGCAACATAGGTAGACCGCTGTCTCTAAAAATAATTAAAAAATAAAAACGATTAAAAAAAGAAAGATAGAGGAAAGGTATAATTGCTGCATATTACCTTGAGATAATGCATTGGGCAACAGTGTAAGAATGTTCTAAGTGAGTGATTATTTGCATTAGGATATAAACTTACTGACTTTTCCAATACTGAATTTCATTGCCTTTTTAGAGACAGAGTTTCACTGTTGTTGCCAAGGCTAGAGTGCAATGGCGCGATCTCAGCTCATTGCAACCTTCGCTTCCTGGGTTCAAGCAATTCTCCTGCCTCATCCTCCCTAGTAGCTGGGATTACAGGCGCCCACCACCACGCTCAGCTAATTTTTTGTATTTTTAGTAGTGATGGGGTTTCACCATGTTGGCCAGGTTGATCTCAAGCTGCTGACCTCAGGTGATCCACCCACCTCGGCATTCCAAAGTGCTGGGATTACAGGTGTGAGCCAGTGCACCTGGCCTATTGCCTTTTATATATGTTCTAGATATAAGTGTATTTCATTCAGTACATATTTATGCCTGCTGGAGACGTGATAGTATTGTGGTCCATGAATGCTGCCTGGAGCCAAAATGCCGCGATGGTAATTCTGGCTTCCTCCTTTACTAGCTGTGGGATGTTGGTCAAAATACTAATCCCATTGTGTCTCTATTTATTCATCAGAAAATAGGGATCATAATAGTAAAATGCATAAGAATTAGTAAATTAACCTTGATAAAGGTCTTCAGAACTGTGTGTGCTAAATAGCAAGTACCCAGTTTATTGTTAGTGTTTATTACTGTTGCTGTTGTGATTGTTGTTCTTACCACTGCTTTTTCTAAGATAAGAGTGTTTGATACTGTGGAAGATGGATAAATAAGATACAGACTTCATTATAGATTTGAAAAACAAGTCTCTTCACTTGTTATACATTTGGTTCTTTTGCTGGTTTCATAATGTGTTCATTTCTAGGGAGGTGCTTTTAATCCTTCTAACTTTATAGTTTTTATGAATTGTTCATCTTTGTCTTGTACAAAGTAGAATTAATAAAATGTTTCTTTTTTCTTTTTCTTTCTTCCTTTTATTTCTTTTTTTTCCCTGCCATCTCTCCTTTTTTTTGGCAAGGAAATGTTTACATGTTAAACAGTTCCTTAAGAAGCCCTCTGGAGTTAAATATTTTTTTCCTCAACAACTATAATCATCTAATACTCAGATAAAAATTCTTAAGTGAGCAAAACTAGGATTCTGTTGCATTTTAACATAAAAGTCAAAGACTAAAATTGGAATGGGGCACTTAAATGAATGCTAGCAAACAAAACAAACATCTTGTCATTTTAAAAGTTGTGTATTTTGGCTGGGCGCAGTGGCTCATGCCATAATCTCCAGCACTTTGGGAGGCTAAGGAGGGCGAGTCACCTGAGGTTAGGAGTTTGAGACCAGCCTGGCCAAAACGATGAAATTCCATCTCTACTAAAAATACAAAAATTAGCCAGGCGTGGTGGTGGGCACCTGTAATCTCAGCTACTTGGGAGGCTGAAACAGGAGAATTGCTTGAACCTGGGAGGCAGAGGTTGCAGTGATCTGATATCGCACCACTGCACTTCAGCCTGGGTGACAGAACAAGACTCTGTCTCAAAAATAAAAGTTGTGTATTTTGAACATAGACCTCATTTGATTCACTTTGGCTTACCATAATTAATCTTAGAACTTAGGTTAAGTCTTTTTTTTGAGTCGGAGTCTCAACTCAAGTTAGAGAACTCGAACCTCCCAAGTTCAAGTGATTCTCCTGCCTCAGCCTCCCAAGTAGCTGGGATTACAGACGCCCGCCACCACACCTGGCTATATTTTTGTATTTGTAGTAGAGACAGGGTTTTACTATGTTGGCCAGGCTGGTCTTGAACTCCCTACCTCATGATCTGTCTGCCCCGGCCTTCCAAAGTGCTGGGATTACAGGCATGAGCCACCGATGACTGGCCTGGGTCTTTTTTGTTTGTTTGTTTGTTTGAAATGGAGTCTCGCTCTGTTGCCCAGGCTGGAGTGCAGTGGTGTGATCTCAGCTCACTATAACCTCTGCTTCCCAGGTTCCAGTGATTCTCCTCTCTTAGTCTTCTGAGTAGCTTGTATTACATGCACGTGCCACCACACCTGGCTAATTTTTGTATTTTTAGTAGAGATGGTGTTTCACCATGTTGGCCAAGTAGGTCTGAAATTTCTGACCTCAGGTGGTCCACCTGCCTTGGCCTCCCAAAGTGCTGGAATTGCAGACGTGAGCCACCACGCCCGGCCTAGGTTAAGTCTTGATGTAAAAATCTTACAATGTATATAAAGGACTCCCAAGCATCAGACCTGGAAATCATTTATAACTCTTCCATCGTAATCACTCCAAAATAGTCTTGTTGATAACAGGTCCAATAGTTTTGCTTCTGTAAACCTCCAACAGTTTCTCACCCTTTCAGACTATCGTCTTTCCTGATATAAAAAATTACATGAATCAGATCTTCCATGTCAGCATTGCCTATTGTAGTAGTTCCAATTCCATACACACAAAATAATTACCTAGGTTGTTTCATAATTAGTTCCCCAAGATGGAGCCAAGGGATCTGTATTTTTGCCTAGACCTTTTCGCTGGTCCTCATATAGCCAATGCAGAAGATACTGGCCTATAGAATAAGTTCAGTCTATATTATGTTCACAGTCTGATCCCAAATATCCTTCTCTTTTCTCCTCCTTTGAGTACGTTCTCCTTCTTTTAGTCTTAGGCTTTATCTACATCAAACTTCTGAATTCCCCAGATAGATTATACATTCAGTCTGCTATGCTTATGCGTATTTCCTTCACTTCTTATGGATTAACCTTTTAATACCCAACTATATTGTCACTCCACACACTCAGCAGTTAGCCGCAGCCTCTTTATTCCTGCTATGCTGCAGACATGCTTTGGAGGGACATAACTGGCTCCCCAGCTTGGATGCTGAGGGTCAAGAACAGTTTTGTTTCCACAGTGCCAAGCATAGTGTATGAGATACAGGTGGTGTTCAGTAAATGTTTGCAGTAAACCAGCATTTATTCAAGTTTTATGTGAAAAGCTAAAGACTATTTTACTATTTTCTGAATAGATACACAAAGTTTATGTATTAAATTTTCTGTTTTAGAAAATACCAGAGGAATTTAATGTATTTAATTTAATACAAGAAATGAGAACACAAAGGCATTCTGCAGTACAAACAAAGGTATAGTTGTTTTCCTTTATAAACTGTATTTTATAAATGCTTTCTTCTTTTTTAAAATGTTTTTTCTTTTTGTTTTTTTAATCATTTTTCTCCCTCATAGGAGCAATATGAGCTTGTTCATAGAGCTATTGCCCAACTGTTTGAAAAACAGCTACAACTATATGAAATTCGTGGAGCTCAGGAAGTTACTGATGGAGTGGTAAGTGTTCTTGGCCTGTTAATTTTGGGAAACTTTTACTTTTTGTTAAGATGTAATAGCTTTTAGTTGTCATCTTGTGTTTTGTCTGACACAAGAATGTCCAGGACATTTATTATTTTTACTTAACATGGATTTTGTTAAACTCATTTCCCTCTTATCTGTGTCTCTATTATGAATGATATTTAGTGACTCCAATATAAGGTTAATAATGTTCTAAATAAAGTTAGGAAAGATCTTATGTCAAAAACCATATACATGGTTAATGTTTTACTTTTTAAAAAAAAGTTGCATTGTTTTCTTTACTCTTTCCTTCCACCCCCACCTAAGTAATTCTGCATTGATTGTAATTGAATTTTATTTTGTATAAAGTGTTTTGGTTATTTGTGTATATACTTTTCAATTAAGCAGAATTATAGAGCCATAATTAAGTCCTTTTCGTCATGTTGTAATTCAGTGTTATTCTAGCCATATAACATCTTATTGGATATTCAACTTCTAGCCCTGAGAAAAATACTGTTTTCTCAGTGTTCTCATTTCTGCCCTTGTTTTCTAATCAATTGTCTTGTTTCCTTTCTGTATATAACCACCTTGTTCCTGAAGGTGCTGAACTTTTTTTGTGTGTGTAGAATTTTTCTTTACATCTTTATCATTGAGTCTGTGATAACTATTACATTGTTAAACCAAGTATGAAGAAATGCGTTACAACATTTATAATCTTTGTTTTTCTTTTCTGCCTTTAAATGGTTTTGTCAGTTCCCAGAATATTTGTTTGAACTTCCTTGGTTTTCCAAATGAGAGATTTATTACCAAATGGTGATCTCAGTTTGTTAAGATAAATCTAATATTGGTCCATGAGTTTTAGGAAATATGCATTTCTTTTATTAGCCAAGTGCCAATTTCAGGTTTTTAAGTTTTATGTGATCTCATTCTTATTCTTCTTCATTAACATAGTAATTATTGTCCAAGAAAACCTCCTACAATGCCTTTAGCTTAATTAAATGATGTTATGACATGTTCTGAATCTAGCCAAATATTTTATAATGTAGAATCAAATGTATGTTTTTTGTGTGATGGAGTCTCACTCTTTTGCTTAGGGCTGGAGTGCAGTGACACGATCTCTGCTTACAGCAACCTCTGTCTCCTAGATTCAAGCCGATTCTCGTGCCTCATCCTCCGGAATAGCTGGAATTATAGGCATGTGCCACCATGCCTAGCTAATTTTTGTATTTTTAGTAGAGATGGGGTTTTGCCAAGTTAGCCAGGTTAATCTCAAACCCCTGATCTCAGGTGATCTACATGTCTCAACCTCCCGAAGTGCTAATATTATAGATTTGAGCCACTGTGCCCAGACAGATGTTTAAATTATTTTGTATAATTTTATCTAAGTTGAGATATTTAATATTTCAAAAAGCTACATAGGGTATAAACACTTTTTTTTTCTTATGAGACCGAGTCTCGCTGTGTCACCAAGCTGGAGTGATTCAAGTGATTCCCCTTCCTCAGCCTCCCGAGTAGCTGGGACTATAGGCACACAGCACCAAGGCTGGTTAATTTTTTTTTCTTTTCAGTAGAGACAGAGTTTCACCGTGTTGGCCAGGATGGTCTCGATCTCCTGACCTGTGATCCACCCGCCTCAACCTCCCAAAGTGCTGGGATTACAGGCATGAGCCACTGTGCCCAGCCACACTTACTACTTTTCTGACAATTTAGTTAATAGGTAAAAGGTTTTTTTTTTAAATGTTCTGTGTTCCAGAATTATTTTTGTAGAAATTTTAGTTTGATATACTACTTGGTTATTTTAAACTTTAAAATAAATACTATTTTGGGGGGAGGTATTTACAACTAAAGTGAATTCCTGAAGTGAGATACCTAAAGAGAAAACTTATTCTGTAAGCCTATATCATATTGACCAAGATTTAGAAATACCTTAATAAGCAAACATCTGTGCATCTTGCCATTTTATCTTGTTTATAAAAGACACCATCACTAGTACTGTCAACACCAGTATTTCAATTCTAGAATGATTAAGTAATAGCAATAATAGTTTGTGTTATGGTCCTTTTTTTGTGTTTGTGTAGTATATTTTAGATGTGATCATGAATTCTGGATTTTTTTCCTAAAATATAATTTTTTTTAAATTTAAAGCACCCTGCTTTTTATTTTTTCTATAGCTGAAAATATTCTTAAATATTAGATAATTTGTTTCTTAATTTTTTTGTCACCTTTCATGTAACTGTTATTTAGTTATTTTCTTTTTCTCTGAATGCATCCAGATTTTTTTTTTCTTTTTTGAGATGGAGTCTCACTCTTGTCACCCAGGCTGGAGTGCAGTGGCACAGTCTCAGCTCACTACAACCTTCGCCTCCTGGGTTCAAGCGATTCTCCTGCCTCAGTCTTCTGAGTAGCTAGGACTACACGTACCCGACACCAAGCCTGGCTAATTTTTGTGTTTTTAGTAGAGATGAGGTTGGCCAGGCTGGTCTCAAACTCCTGACCTCCTGATCCATCTGCCTTGGCCTCCCAAAGTGCTGGGATTACAGGCGTGAGCTACCACGCTCGGCCCTGTTTTATGGAAAATAATAGTACACAAGACAACTTTAGAAACTTCTGCTTAAAACAAGAGAACACAGGCTAGGCGCCATGGCTCATTTCATGCCTGTAATCCCACCTCTTTAGGTTGCCAGGCAAGGAGAATTGCTTGAGACCAGGAGTTTGAGATCTTCTAGGGTGACGTAGCGATACCCCATCTCTACAAAAAAAATTTCATTACCCAGGTATGTTAGCACATGCCTGTAGTCCTGGCTGTGGGGGAGGCTGAAGTAGAGTAGTTACTTGAGCCCAGGAGTTCAAGGCTGTAGAGCTATAATCGTGCCACTGCACTAGATTATTTAATTCCTAAAATTCTTATCCATTTCAAAAGTTGGTGATTGCTTCAGCAAGTTGTATACCTGACAAATGTGAACTCAAAAATTGTAGGTAATAAAAGAGAATCAGAAGATGTAGGTGTATAGCAGACATTAACCAGGAAATCCAAGAAGAGCATTGTTTGTAAAGTCCAGTGACCAGGAGGCTTTGTTCATGCTGCTTAGGTAGTGGCTCTCCATTGAGTTGCAGTTCTGCACTGCCACATTGATTGCTTTAATCAGAGGAAACTCAGTATGTTCTGAAAGCTAATCTCCACCAGAAGTTCTCTTTTTGCTCTTCCTGTTAATGGCTTTGTCATGCTCTTATTTACCCAGAAAAAGGAATCCGTCATGAAACCTTTACTTTGTCACATGTAGTGTTTACCTAAAATGTCCTTACTATCTCATATTCTCTTTACCCTTCCACCTGCCATTCCACCTGTTTTGTCTCTTCCAATCCTCATTCTTTTTTTGTCAAAATCTTACCCAGCCCTCATGCAATTCTACATTTTACCTTAATATTGTCAACTTGTTTTTTCTCAATTGCATTCTTAATATTCTCAACTATAACAACTTCTGGTTCTGAGTTCATAGTTTCATAGTACTGATTATGCCACTTTGGGGCTGTAGTATTACTCTTCTTCTTCTTTTTTTTTTTTTTTTTTGGCAGGTTCGCCAGATTATACATTTTGAAGTTAAATATAATACCATGTCCTTTTTACATTTTAGTATCCTCTGCAGTGCTGACGTTGTTCAGTGCATTTCACATAGATGTCCACAGTGCCTTACCTGCAGTTCCAAAATCCAAAGAAAACATTTTTTGTTTTATTTGCTTGTTTTTGTGAGTTTGATATTGCATTCACTTGGCGACAGAATATTTCATTGACATGACATGAGTCTGTTTATGTTGTGCTACCAAAAAAAAAATGCTGTTTTGTAGGTTAGAAACAGTTCAAATTAGAAGGCGTTTCATATGGTTTGCTTTTATTTTTTATTTAACCTACTTAGTGCATACTTTGGTACAAAATACCAAATGTTATTATAGAATTATTATATCTGTAATGGAAATCATAAGTAGATGATTAATAATATGTTGGGGTATTTTTTTTTTCGAGACTGAGTCTCGCTCTGTCGCCCAGGCTGGAGTGCAGTGACATGATCTCGGCTCATTGCAACCTCCGCCTCCCAGATTCCAGTGATTCTCCTGCCTTAGCCTCCCAGGTAGCTGGAATTATAGATGTGCACCACCACACCCAGCTAATTTTTGTATTGTGGTGGAGACAGGGTTTCCCCATATTGGCCCAGGCTGGTCTCAAACTCCTGACCTCAAGTGATTCACCCATGTCAGCCTCCCAAAGTGCCAGGGTTACATGTGTGAGCCACCATGCCTGGCCTAATAGGTACCTTTTCCATGCAGAGTCTCTAAATTCTGGTGGTACCTGAGGATCTGAAACTTTGGTGATCAAAAGTCCTGATTTGCCTAAGGCACACCAGTTTACACTAGTTTTCTAGGTATAATAATTAATAATGCTCCTTTTTCATACTGTAAAGAGCCTTGATGAGGACAATAAATTATATGGTCACCCTACCTATAGCCAGATATTTCTGCACCAATGCCTCAATATTGGTGGGTGGATTTAATTAAGGATGAGTGCTTTAAGTCTTATGATGTAACTCTATTTTTCTGGTCAGGTAGTGAGATGTGTAAAACCTCTAATTCATCAGATTATATATAAGGAGATAGGGTGCACTTAAAATTGCTAGGAAGTTGAGATCTCTGTTGTTTTAGTTGGAAATAATTGAAGTAACAGTTGTAAGCACAAGCTGTCATGATGGACGTAGCAGAAGTGCCTTTTAATTAAAAAAAACAATAACAACAAAATAAAGTGCAACTGCAGTTTCAGATTTCCTTAGTTGATAGTATATGTAAAGATGGTTGCTTTCTAAAATTATCCAAGATGTTGGCAAGGGTGAAAATAATTCCTGTCGCCTGGATATAACATACCCTAGAATTAAAATACCCTAGCTAGATAAATATGAGATATGTTGACAGTGAAACCAATTCAAGGCAGTATTTTAATTTCATAGCTCCTCTATTTACAGTCCTAAACCTAAGGTGCTTATGTGTTTTGACTCTGAAGCATCAATGTTAATGAAGTCATTGGTCCTTGTGACCAGCAAGAATCAAGGATATTCCTGGGATGGACTCTGTCTACCTTTTTGAGGTCCATTTGATTAGCCAGTGATATAGGAGCTATATTCCCTAATAGATTAGGGCACTCCACATAGTGACATAGAGTGAGAGTAAGGCAAGAAATGGTTAAAATGAATCCTGGGACCAATTTAAAAGTACTAGGTAGTAATGGGGAGTCAAAAAAAGATACTCCATTACTCCATAAATGGTATAAGCCTTATTTGTTGACTTTTTTTCTCTCCGTATATGTTAAGCTTCTAGTGGTAGTGATGGGGGACGTGGGAGGATACTATGTTCTTTGATCCATGTTATCTTGGGAAACCTATGTTTTTACAGTATCTTTTGAGATGTGTTAAAATGCTACCGTATACCTTGATCTTTCAGTAACTGTGATGCGTTTTTTTTTTTTTTTTTTTTTTTGATACAATGTCTCCCATTGAAGTCTGGTCCTTCAGGCTAAAATATAGAGCCAGAATATAAGACTCTTTTTTTTTTTTTTTAATTTAACTTGGCAAAATTGGCATTGTTTTAAGGATTGAAAAGCACAGAAACAATTTAGTTGAAACATGAAGAGGAAAAATTATTTTTCTCATAACCTTAGTGAAGCATTTTTTCCCTTGGCAGAATGAAATTAACACTGAAAACATGGTCAGCTCCACAGATGCTGAAAAACAAGATTCTCCTCCTCCAAAACCACCAAGGACCCGCAGGTATTGTGTGTCTTTAAACATTTTCTTTAAAAGTGTACTTGTTTTTATTCACTGTAAATTAAAATGACAAAATCTGAATATTTCTAAATATTATAACTTTTATTATTATTTTGTTAGTCTGTAGCATACATGACAAAACATAACAAAACAACTAATTTGTTACAGTTCACTAAAAATTTGGTTTCATTTTGGATAAAATTTCAATACACTGTGGCAGAATGTAGATACCACCATGAATTGACTGTAGTTTATGTTTTGATATATAAATTTTATATATCAAATTATATGTGATATAGTTAAAATTTTAGTTATTCTAAAGATTTTCATTGTTTTCCTTGGTGACTGAATATGTTTGCCAAAAATTATATGCGTGTTGAAGAGGTTATGTTATATTTAATAACGTTACTAGCAAAGATTAGTTTATTTCTTTAGTTTTTCTTGCTTTTCTGCCAAGCTGATTTATAGTAGTTAAAATCATATATATTCGTCTTTTCCTTCCCTTCTTGTTCAGGGTAGCTGCTAGGTCAGTGACATAGTAGTATGGAAAGAATACAGAGTCAGAAGATGGTAGTTTCAACTCCTTTTCTGCCAGTTAGCTCTGGGATCTAGAATTAGTTTATTTATTCCTGGGGAGAGGGAGTTTTTTTCAGTATTGTCCTAAGGATTAAATTAAAAAGCTATTAGAATATTTTATAGTGTCTTTCTTGCACGTAGATCTGCCCAAACTGGCCTCCCATCAAAATAATTTTTTTTTATACAGGATACACCAATTCTTTCTATCTTAAAACTTTGGTGAAAGTTGGATAAAATGGCCAGGGTCATGTCTTGACATTGAGTTGCTAATTCCAAGAGATCATTCTAATAAAATCATCTCTTTTAACAAAAGAAAAAGCCTGCAGCTTCCCCCAGTAATGGAAGGTTTGGTTAGAATCCCTGCACACCACAGGATAAATTTACTCTCATTTTGACCATGCAAGATTCTAACTGCCTGGAAAGGAAGCTCCTGGTACAAAAAGAGGTAGTATACTCTGGTATAAAGAGGATTTTTCATGTAAATAGGTCTCATTTCAAATTTTAACTTAAGCATTTCCCACTAAATGAACTTGGACAAGCTACTTCTCTGAAAATTCTTTACTTCATTGTGCTGAAATATAGTACTAGTATTTTGCATTGTTAAGAATTAGTGATAATGTATACAAAATATATAGTTACTTGCCTGGTCTGTAGTAGCAGATTTTTAAGTGTGGTAGTTGTTACAGTCTCTGGAATACCTTTGCATACTTCTCTCAGGAATCTCAGGAAGCCTATGTATAGATGAGGTCAGGTCTCAACATTTAAATGTTTAAGATGTTAACTGTGTGCTGACAAAACTTACTAGTAGTTCTTTCCTGTTTGATTTCCACTTTGGTATCTACCAAAATTGGTTGGCATTTTAGCCATCTGTGGAAGGTAGCCAGTTGAAACCTATAAACTGTTAATTGTTTAACTTCTCTGTTCCACTTATGAGCCCTAGGATCCTAAAGGAAACTACTGGCCCTAAAAAATGTAACATTTTTACTACTCTGTCTTTTGATTTGATTTTTTTTAGATTAAGCCAATACAGAGGTTTTCAAAGTCTACACTGATATTTATGATTTGAATGTTCTTCTGCCTCTAACTACATATAGCAGCAGTCGCCTCTTAATTTTACAAGAAAAAGAAGAATAGAATATCTGAGTTTTAAGCCTTTTTCCTATACCTGTTCAAAAATTTGACTTCTGTTACTCTTCAAAAAAGATAGTAAAGAAATAGCAAATGAATATTAACAAAAATAGTAAACTCAATACTTTTTTTTTTGTTTGAGATGTAGTCTTGCTCCATCTCCTAGGCTAGAGTGCAGTGGCACGATCTCGGCTCACTGCAACCTATGCCTCCTGGGTTCAAGCAGTTCTCTTGCCTCAGCCTCCCTAGTAGGTGGGACTGCAGGCACCTGCCACCACACCTGGCTAATTTTTGTACTTTTAGTAGAGATGGGGTTTCACCTTGTTGGTCAGGCTGGTCTTGAACTCCGGACCTCAGACGATCCACCCACCTTGGTCTCCCATAGTGCTGGGATTACAGACGTGAGCTATCACATCGGGCTCTTAAGACAGATTTTTATTAGGCATACATCCTAAAAGTTTTCAGTGTTTGATTTTATATTAACTGCATAGGTCATCTTTTTTCTTCATGTAATGGAATCAAATGCCAGCATAACATTGTTTTTGACAAAGAGATTCTTGTGGCTTCTAAGTTGGGATGAGTTTTAGAACTATTATAAATTGTTTCAACATAACTGAAAATAAAATCAGAAAATTGTAAGGTTAATAACAGGTAAAGTAATATAGTTTGTTTTTCAGTATGGCTACAGTAAACAAATTGTTTAAAGTACATGATGGAGCCGAGCACAGTGGCTCATGCCTGTAATCCCAACACTTTGGGAGGCCAAGGTAGGCAGATCACAAGATCAGGAACTCAAGACCAGCCTGACCAATATGGTGATGAAACCCTGACTCTACTAAAAATACAAAAATTAGCCAGGCATGGTGGCGTATTCCTGCAGTCCCAGTTACTTGGGAGGCTGAGGCTAAGGCAGGGGAGTTGCTTTGAACTCAGGAGATGGAGGTTGCAGTGAGCTGAGATTGCGCCACTGCACTCCAGCCTGGGTGACAGAGCAGGACTCCATCAGCAGGGAGGAATACTAGTATTAGCTGGGTGTGGTGGTGGGCACCTACAGCCCTAGCTACTCAGGAGGCTGAGGCTGGAGAATCGCTTGAACCTGGGAGACGAAGGTTGTAGTGAGCCAAGATTGCGCCACTGCACTCTAGCCTGGCCAACAAAGCAAGACTCTGTCTAAAAATTTGTATATATTAAAAAATAATAAAGTATATGTTGGCTGGGCATAGTGGCTAACACTTAATAATCCCAACTTTTTGGGAGGCTAAGGCAGGAGGATTGCTTGAGTCCGTGTGTGTGTGTGTGTGTGTGTGTCTGTGTGTGTCTGTGTGTGTGTTGTGCATATGTTTTATTTTTATTTTTTTACTTTTTAAATATTTTTGTTAAAAACTGAGAAACATATACACACTAGCCTAAGCATACACAGGGTCAGGATCATCAATATTATTGCCTTCTACCTCCACATCTTGTCCTACTGAAAGGATATCAGGGCAGTAACACATGGAGCTGTCATCTCCTATGATAGTAATGCCTTCTTCTGGAATACCTCCTGAAGGACCTGGCTGAAGCTGTTTAACAGTTAACTAGTCTTTTTTTTAACAATTAGGAGTACACTCAAAATTAACATTAAACAGTAAGTATATGGTTAGGCTCAATGGCTCACACCTGTAATCCCAGCACTTTGGGAGGCCAAGACAGGTGGATCACTTGAAGATGGGGGTTCGAGACCATCCTGGCCAGCATGGTGAAAGCCCATCTCTACTAAAAATACAAAAATTAGCTGGGTGTCATGGCGCAGGCCTGAGTCCCAGCTTCTTGGGAGGCTGAGACAGGAGAATTGCTTGAACCCAGGAGGTAGAGGTTGCAGTGAGCCGAGATTGCTCCACTGGACGTTAGCCTGGGTGTGACAGGGCGAGACTGTCTCAAAAAAAAAGTAAGTATATAAGCCAATAACTGTTTTGTTTATTATCATCATCAAGGATTTTGTCCTGTATATAATTATATGTGCTATACTTTTATATGACTGACAGCACAATAGGTTTGTTTATAGCAGCATCACAACAAACATGTGAATAATGCATTTTGCTAGAAATTCATAGGACTTTTTCAGCTCCATTATAACATTATAGGGCCACCATGGTATGTGTGGCCCATCATTGACTGAAACATCACATGATTTTACATGTCTTCCAGTCATTTTTAATATTCCAGTTCTTTTCTTTTTCTTCTTTTCTTTGACAGAGTCTTGCTTTGTTGCCCAGGCTGGAGTGCAGTGGTGTGATTATGGCTCACTGCAGCCTCGACCTCCTAGGCTCCCACCCTAGCCTCCCAACTAGCTGGAACTGTAGACATACACCACCATGCCTAGCTAATTTCTGTATTTTTTGTAGAGATGGGTTTTCTCCATATTGCCTAGGCCAGTTTTAAACCCTTGGGCTTAAGGGATGCACCCATTTTGGCCTCTCAAAGTGCTGAGATTGTAGTTGTGAGTCACCATGCCCAGCCAGTATTCCAGTTCTTCCGATTCTTAAAAGTGAACAGAACTAGGAATGATTGGGCATTTGACAGAAGCCTCTGATGTGAAAGACAGGAAACGGAGATAATACAGAGTAAAATTAAAAAGATGAGAGAAAAAAAGAAGCAACTGTCTACTTTTCTCAGTCATCGGGAAATGCTGCAACCATGAAGAATTATGGGTAATAAGTAAGAAGCTCTTAGAAATTAAAAATACAGGCTGGGGGCCGGGGCGCGGTGGCTCAAGCCTGTAATCCCAGCACTTTGGGAGGCCGAGGCGGGTGGATCACGAGGTCAAGAGATCGAGACCATCCCGGTCAACATAGTGAAACCCCGTCTCTACTAAAAATACAAAAAATTAGCTGGGCATGGTGGCACGTGCCTGTAATCCCAGCTACTCAGGAGGCTGAGACAGGAGAATTGCCTGAACCCAGGACGCGGAGGCTGCAGTGAGCCGAGATCGTGCCATTGCACTCCAGCCTGGGTAACAAGAGTGAAACTCCGTCTCAAAAAAAAAAAAAAAAAAAAAAAATACAGGCTGGGTGTGGTGTCTCATGCCTATAATCCTAGCACTTTGGGAGGTCAAGGCGGGCAGATCACGAGGTCAAGAGTTCAAGACCAGCCTGACTAACATGGTGAACCCCCCTGTCTACTAAAAATGCAAAAATTAGCCAAGCGTGGTGGTGTGCACCTGTAATCTCAGCTACTCAGTAGGCTCAGGCAGGAGAATTGTTTGAATCCGGGAAGCAGAGGTAGCAGTGAGCCAAGATCACACCACTGCACTCCAGCCTGGGCAACAGAGCAAGACTCTGTCTCCAAAAAAAAAAAAAAAAAATTAATAATATAATACCATAAATTTAAAAATTAAGCAGAAGTTTGGAAAACAGTCAAGGAACTATTTCAAGAAAATGAACACATAAAGAGAAAGTAGGAGAGAATAGATAAGGAAATCAGAAAGCCAAACTAGAATATCAGTCACTGAACTAATTGTCTGAAAGGAGAGTAGAGAAGAACAAATTAGAGAAAAAAAAGAAAATATATTAGAATTAAATGGCATAAATTTTCATATAGAGGGTATACACCAAGTTCCTAATATAATGCATAAAAATAGATTTTTTAAATAAGTTTTTTTAAGTTACCTTATGAAATTGTAAACCATCTGATGTAAGAACCTTGTTGAGGTTTAGAGTAAGATAAAAATAATGCTGAAGTTTGGAGTAAGATTTTTTAAAAATAAAAAACTTTGAAAATAATTAACAAACCCATATACCATACTCAATATCTGTCAAGCACTGTTCTAAATGTTATTCAGATGTTAACTCATGTAATTCTCATAACTGCCCTGTGAGAAATGTACTGTTAAGGATGTATTGGGTTTGTTAATCAAGTAAATCTCTAACATACTGATCATGAGTCTGGACACAGTGGCTCTCACCTATAATCCCAGCACTTTGAGATGGCAAGGAGGGCGGATCACTTGAGGTCAAAAGTTCAAGACTAGTCTGGCCAACATGAGGAAAACCCCATCTCTACCAAAAATACAAAAATCAGTCACTGTCATGGCGCATTCCTGTAATCCCAGCTACTTGTGAGACTGAGACAGGAGAATTGCTTGAACCTGGGAGGTGGAGGTTGCAGTGAGCCAAGATCACACTACTGCACTCCAGCCTGAGCGACAGAGTAAGACTCTGTATCAGTAAAAATAATAAAATACTGATTGTGGAAAAGTGGTCTCATGTACATGTAGGGAAAATAATAAACCTCAATTTATATCAAAACTTTATTTCGTCCTTTTAAAACTCTTATTTTCTATTTGTATTATGTGTTCTTAGGATAACCTATTGATCTTTGTGTATGCTTTATAAACTGTAGGAGGTGTCTGCAATTATTTTTTGTTTTAGATCACAAAAATTCGATAGCTACTCTTTTCAGATAAGAACCTGCTTATAGGCCAGGTGCAGTGGCTTACACCTGCAGTCTCAGGTCTTTGGAAGGATATGGCAGGTGTATTGCTTGAGTTTAAGAGTTTGAGATCAGCCTGGTCAACATGAACATGGCAAAACCGCATCTCTACAAAAAATACAAAACTTAGCCATGTGTGGTAATACACACCTGTAGTCCCAGCTACTTAGGAGGCTAAACTGGGAGGATGGCTTGAGCCCTAGAAGCAGAGGTTGCAGTGAGCCGAGATTGTGCTACTGTATTTTAGACCGGATAGCAGAGCCAGGACCCTGTCTCAAAAAAAGAATCTACTTGTAAAACTTAAACAGATATAGGAACATCTTATGGGAGTATTGCTGTTGTTTTAATATGACACTGTTAAGTATTCTGGAGATACCCATTTAACTTCCCATGTCCTATTCCAGGAGCCTGTCTAGAGAATCTGAACTTCAGGGTCTCTTTTAAAGGGAAACCTGGTGTACCATGTGATTACTACCAATTCTGGTTGGATAATAAAAAGGTTGCTCACCTTGAAGAAAAAAAAAGCAAAAACTCTGATGTGGGGCCCAGTGACTCACCCCTGTAATCCCAGCACTTCCTGCCAAGGCAGGAAGACCACTTGAGGCCAGGAGTTCGAGACCAGCCTGGCCAACATTGCAAAACCCCGTCTCTACTAAAAATACAAAAATTAGCCAGGCATGGTGGCATGTGCCTGTAGTCCCAGTTACTCAGGAGGCTCAGTCATGAGAATTGCTTGAACCCAGGAGGTGGAGGTTGCAGTGAGCTAAGATGGTACCACTGTACTCCAGTCTGGGCAACAGAACAAGACTCTATCTAAAAAAAAAAAGAAAGAAAGAAAAAGAAAATCAAAAGAACTCAAGATATACAAGCCCTCAAGAAGTTTGCTTCATATAAAATTCTTAAAATGCAACAAAGCCTGGGCAACATAGTAAACCCTATGTTTCTTTTTTTTTTAAGACAGGATCTCACTCTGTCACCCAGGCTGGAGTACAGTAGCATGATCACAGCTCACTGCAGCCTCCACACCCCCCACCCCCCACCCAGGCTCAGGTGATCCTCCCACTTCCACATGCACTGCCATGCCTGGCTAGTTTTTTTTTTTTTATTTGTTGAAGGCACAAGGTTTTGCCATATTGCCCCGGCTGGTCTTGAACTCCTGCGCTCAAGCAGTTCAACTGCCTTGGCCTCCCAAAGTGGTAGGATTTATAGACGTAAGCCACTGTGCCCAGCCCCCATCTTTTTTTTTTTTTTTTTGAGGCAGCATCTCTGTTGCCCAGGCTGGAATGCAGTGGTGTAATCTCAGCTCATTGCCATCTCCACTTCCCAGGCTCAAGCAGTTCTTCTGCCTCAGCCTCCCGAGTAGCTGGGACTACAGGCATGCACCACCTCACCTGGCTAATTTTTGTATTATTAGTAGAGATGGGGTTTTACCATGTTGCTCAGACTGGTCTTGAATTCCTGAGCGAAAGCGATCTGCCCACCTTGGCCTCCCAAAGTGCTGGGACTAAAGGTGTGAGCCACGGTGCCTGGCCCCATCTCTTTAAGGAAAAAAATAAAGGCAACTAGAGGATATAAACCGCCCAAACAAAGGAGTATACCCAGAAAGAGGAAGATGTGACCTGGGGAAACAGGAGAATCTGAAACCAGGGAGAACATTAGCTCTGTGGTGGACTAGGGAACCAGTGGTTCACACTGGAGCAGGAGGCCAAAGGTTACTAAGAGGGATGTCTGTGGTATTGTTAGTTACCAGGTGTGCTTGTTATTATTGAGAGGAGGTATACCAGTCTGCAGGAAAGTTACACAAGAAAAGCTGAGTAACTGAAGATGGATAGAGAGCTAAGCCATCAAAAACCCGAGGCAGTCATTAGGAGAAAAATAAGACATTATAGAAGAAAAGACATAAAATCATGGCAACAAAAAATTACGTTATAACAGTATTAGAAAGATGGAAAAGAAGGACACTTCCACAGTAGCAAGTCAGTAGAAAATGTGTGAAATAAAGATTAAGAAATAACTTTTGAAATAGTCTGAAATACAGAGGTAAATTTTAGAAGCAACTGTAAAAAAGAGTTGAAAGTGGATGCCTCTGGCTAACTGGAGGGCTATGGGGCGAGGGGGGGGAATATGATTTTTATTAAAAGTCTTGTATTTGACTTTTTAAATAGTATATGTGTATTACCTTGATGAACATTAAATTTTCTTAGTCTGAAAAATTACAATTTGTATTAATAACCAGATTCTAATAGCTCTTAATATACTAGTCTTAGCTACATAAGTCTCATGTATTAACGTGTTTAACAGTCTTAAAATGCTCTTTTTAAATGTTTTTCAGTTGCCTTGTTGAAGGGGATGCTAAAGAAGAAATATTGCAGCCACCAGAACCTCATCCAGTGCCACCCATCTTGACACCTTCTCCCCCTTCAGCTTTCCCAACAGTCACTACTGTGTGGCAGGATAATGATAGATACCATCCAAAGCCAGTGTTGCATATGGTTTCATCAGAACAACATTCAGCAGACCTCAACAGGAACTACAGTAAATCAACAGACCTTCCAGGGAAAAGTGAATCAACAGTTGAACAAATAGATAAAAAATTGGAACGAAATTTAAGTTTTGAGATTAAGAAGGTCCCTCTCCAAGAGGGACCAAAAAGTTTTGATGGGAACTCTCTTTTGAATAGGGGACATGCAATTAAAATTAAATCTGCTTCACCTTGTATAACTGATAAAATCTCTAAACAACAGGAATTAAGTTCAGATCTAAATGTCGATGATATTTCTCAGAATTCTTGTGTGGACTGCAGTGTAACACAATCAAACAAAGTTCCAGTTACTCCACCAGAAGAATCACAGAATTCAGACACACCTCCAAGGCCAGACCGCTTGCCTCTTGATGAAAAAGGACATGCAACGTGGTCATTTCATGGACCTGAAAATGCCATACCCATACCTGATTTATCTGAAGGCAATTCCTCAGATACCTACTATCAAACTATGAAAACTGTGAGTTTAACAACAAGTCCTACAACACGAGTTGAAACCCATGATCTTGTGGATCATAACACTTCACCTCTCTTCAGAACACCCCTCAGTTTTACTAATCCACTTCACTCTGATGACTCGGACTCAGATGAAAGAAACTCTCATGGTGCTGTGACCCAGAATAAAACTAATATTTCAACAGCAAGTGCCACAGTTTCTGCTGCCACTAGCACTGAAAGTATTTCTACTAGGAAAGTATTGCCAATGTCCATTGCTAGACATGATATAACAGGAACAATACATTCAGGTGCTGAAAAAGGTAATAATACAGTGTCTAATACTTAATTGTCTTTACTATGTGCCAGTCACTGTTTTAATCACTTTAGCTGTAGTAATTTATTATGTTTTATTTCACACCATACTATAGAACCTACAGCAAAATTGTCTTAGATATTAATTTTTTTATACAAGTTTTTAATTTATTGTTAACAATTTGATCACATTACATTACTGGGTTTTGTGTTTCTAAAGTATTTTAGTAGTTATAACTGGATAATTTATTTCTTTTGTATTGTAGGTCTTAGTGTTTTTGTATTGGTCAAAAATTTATGTAATTGAAGAATTAGAAATAGCGTAGGGAAGAATTACTTAAAATAACAGTGGCAGAAATACTCTAGAATGTTTTGGTTGGTGGTACAATGTCACCCATGTTTCTCATAAATATTTAGTCATCTTTTTGCTATTCCTTTAACTATGGATTACCTTTTGGGTTTTTTTGGTTGTTCATTTTTATTAATTTCACAAATGCTTGCAAATAAGGCTGCTTTCAACCTGAGTTTAACCCAAGAACACTACTGCAAACTACTCAATAGAATATGGGCAGTTTAATTCATTCAGTAGTGAGTGGGCTATCTGCATAGCTAGTCATCAAAGCTATAATTTAATGAATTACTCTTTTTTAAGCACTCTTAGCATTTCAAGATAATACATGCACTCAATTCCCAAAATTTATTATTGCTTCTTGAACCCCCTCTTTGATCTGCTAAAAGTAATGATGGCTGCCATCTTTTAAGTAAACATATAAATTTGAAAGCTATTTATTGATATACTGATTATCAATGGTCATTTACCATCAGTGTTCTTTGATAGTGACACATACTGGTATTTATAATGTGCAGGCAAAATAATTACCATGACCTTGAAAGATTATTTTGTTGTTGGTGGTTTTTGTCTTTTTTGTTTTGTTTTTTTGAGACGGAATCTCACTCTGTCACCCAGGCTGAAGTGCAGTGTCGTGATCTTGGCTGACTACATGCAACCTCTACCTCCTGGGCTCAAACAATCCTTCCACCTCAACCTCCTGAGTAACTTGGGATTACAGGCACATGCCACCATTCCTGGCTACTTTTTGTGTTTTTAGTAGAGACAGGGTTTCATTATGTTTGCCAGGGCAGCCTCAAAGTTCTGGCTTCAAGTGATCTGCCTGCATCGGCCTCCCAAAGTGTCGGGATTACAGGCGTGAGTCACCACACCTGGCCTTGAAAGATTATTTTTTGTTTCTGACCCATTATACCACCCATACAGTAGTGCTTTTATTTTCTCTAACTCACACATACTGTATTTTTTTTTTTTTTTTTTTTTTTTGGCAAAGAAGAAATTTATTAGCTTACAAGGTAAATGGGGGGATTAAGTAATCAAATCATGGGAAGAGTAAGGATACAGCTAAACCTTAGCATCAATGGGAGAAGAATTTTAGACCCTATAGGAATCTACCTCTATCTTTCATCTATGTCTTTAATATTATTTTGAAATTTCTTTTTTTTTAATTTTTTAATTTTTTTATTGCATTTTAGGTTTGGGGGTACATGTGAAGAACATGCAAGATTGTTTCATAGGTACACACATGGCAGTGTGGTTTGCTGCCTTCCTTCCCCTCACCTGTATCTGTCATTTCTCCCCACGCTATCTCTTCCCACCTCCCCACCTCCCCGTCCCTCCCCTATTACATACTGTATTTTTTAACTTGAGAGAGTTTTTTTGGTAGAATAGATGACAGTCTTAATCTAATTGCTTAAATTACACAATACTCTTTACTTGATTTGTCTTTGTTTTATTTGAAGGATCTTCAGAAGATAATGGTTAGCATAATAGATATTACTTTACCAGTTTACCATAATTTTAAGTTGCTAATGTCTTTTCTTCCTCAACTTCAGAGTTTGAAATATAACTGTCCAGCTATAACTATGTAAGAAAATATGTAGATAAGAAATTTCATTTCTGGGCTTTTTTTAGTATATCAAGCATGTGGTATTGTACCTAGGAGGTTTTATTGTTCTTTTAAAACCATTGCTGAAAATAGAATTTGATGAGGGCCAGAAGGATGCATGATACGATATGCTCATTAAAAGTTACTGCCACATGTCCAGTCTGTTGGTGGCTCAGACCTGTAATCCCAGCACTTTGGGGATTACAGAAAGATCACTTGAGTCCAGGAGTTCATGACCAGTCTGGGCGACATAGTGACACCTCATCTCTGCAAAATGATGAAAAACTAGCCAGGCATGGTGGTGCACTCTTGTGGTCAAGCGGCTGAGGTGGGAGGATCACTTGAGCCTAGGAGCTTGAGGCTACAGTGAGCTCTAAGTGCATCACTGCACTCTGCCTGGGCAACAGAGGGAGGCCCTGTCTGCAAAAAAAAAGAGTAAATCCAGGCCTGTGGCTCACGTCTGTAATCCCAGCACTTTGGGAGGCCAAAGCAGGCGGATCACGAGTTCAGGAGATCGAGACCATCCTGGCTAACACGGTGAAACCCCATCTCTACTAAAAATAGAAAATATTAGCTGGGTGTGCTGGTACACACCTGTAGTCCCAGCTACTTGGGAGGCTGAGGCAGGAGAATAGCTTGAAACCTGTAAAGTGAAAGTTGTAATGAGCCGAGATGGAGCCACTGCACTCCAGACTGGGACACAGAGCAAGACTCCATCTCAAAAAAAAAAAAAAAAAGAGTAAGACATGCTGTACAGAAACACCCTACTATGTGCCATCCCATTTTTGTTCATTTGGTTTTGTATTTCAAAGCAAAAACCACTATAAACGTGATTTTTGGGGTTTTCCCCCACGCTACCGTAACTATGTTATTGGTTTGATATTAACTAAAGATTTTTCTTTGTGTAAATGTTCTTTGTTGCAGCATACTTTCAAGAAGTCCTATTTTTAATGTGTTGCCAAATATTTACCATATAGATTATTTACTTTATAGATTATTTATTTACCTTGTAAATTATTTCCTTTGTAGATTATTATCTTATTGAACTGCTGGCACCAAAATTAGAGTTTCGAGGTTTTTTTTTTTTTTGGTCCTAGAACTTGTTAGTGAATTACAGTCATACATTGGATTTCTGAATGACAGGGATTTTTTTTTGCGAGGGAGTCTTGCTCTGTCACCCAGGCTGGAGTGCAGTGGCACAGTCTCGGCTCACTGCAACCGCCACTTCCTAGATTCTGGCGATTCTCCTGTCTCAGCCTCCCAGGTAGCTGGGACCGCAGGCACATGCCACCATGCCCAGCTAATTTTTTATTTTTAGTAGAGATGAGGTTTCATCATGTGGGCCAGGGTGGTCTCAAACTCCTGAACTCAGTTGATGTGCCTGCCTTGGCCTCCTAGAGTGCTGGGATTACAGGTGTGAGCCACAGCACGCACTGGGATATGTTCTGAGAAAACTAGGTCATTAGGTAACTTTGTCATTGTGTGAATGTCATAGAATGTATTTACACAAACCTAGATGGTATAATGTACTACACATCTGGGCCATATGTTGTAGCATATTGTTCCTAGGCTACAAACCTGTATAGCATATTACCATATTGAACAGTTGTAACACAATGGTAAGTATTTGTGTATCTACACATAGAAAAGGTACAGTAAAAATGTAGTATCATAATCTTACAGGACCACTGTTTATGTAATCTTGTTATTGATGAAAATGTTATTATGTAGTGCATACCTGTAATAGAATAATTTTGTACTGATACCTAAAATAACCTCTGCATAAGTTTCTGCCTGAGTTATGATTTCAGTCTTGACTTAGGCCTCCTAAAAGATTTCTCAAATTCAGCTACAGAAGGCCCCATACAGTGTAGGATTTGCAAAAGCCTATGTAAAATGTGCAGTCTCTGGTTGGATAACCTCTAAAACAGAAGTTTGTAACAGGAAAGGCAATCCAGGGTTCCAGGGAGAAACATGCATTTGCAAAGCAAGGGCCACACTTAGAAAATAAAAGTCTTTAAGGGTGAGAAGTGTCATGAGAGAAAAATCACAGAGTTTCTGAAAGATAACTGATAGAAAAAGGGCTGAACTGCCCTTTTTGTTTAGTTCATTTATGAAATGGTACCCGAATGCCAAGATTATGTGTCACTTCCTTCCAACAGCCATCTCATAGTTACTAACTGTGCGCCGTTAGTAACAAGAGGGCAAGGAGAAATACGGTGATGACTCAGACTACCACTACTGGATAATGTAGATAGTTCTTCAGTGGCAAGAGAGAGTTCTGGTACTCTTAGTATACATACCAAGTATTGGACCAGAACTCTTGTTTCAGCTGGACCTAGAGGCTGTATTTTCTTGTGTCTCCAACTAAGTAAATGTAGGAGGGGCAAGAGCAATCATATTCACCTAATGTGTGTTGAAAATTGAAAAGACCTGCCGGGCGCGGTGGCTCAAGCCTGTAATCCCAGCACTTTGGGAGGCCGAGGCGGGTGGATCACGAGGTCGAGAGATCGAGACCATCCTGGTCAACATGGTGAAACCCCTTCTCAACTAAAAATACAAAAAACTAGCTGGGCGTGGTGGTGCGTGCCTGTAATCCCAGCTACTTAGGAGGCTGAGGCAGGAGAATTGCCTGAGCCCAGGAGGCGGAGGTTGCGGTGAGCCGAGATCGCGCCATTGCACTCCAGCCTGGGCAACAAGAGTGAAACTCCGTCTCAAAAAAAAAAAAAAAAAAAAAAATTGAAAAGACCTATGCGGAGCCCATCAGGTGTGGTAAAATAGAGTATCATGGCAAAACTCTGTGCATTTAAGAACAATGGGCAAAGCGCAAGACAAAATAATACAGGACCATCACATTTCCTTTTCTCTGTCCCACTCCCCAGCCTGAGAGTTCACACACAGAATTGTATCCTCATATTTTCTTTCTGTGCCTCCAGTGAAAACTCAAGACATCAAATACACTCATTTAACTTAAACCATAATAAAGCTAACCAGTGAGGCTTACTTAATGCACTGTCTTTTCCAAGAGCTAATTTCGTCTTTACTAGTGAAAAACCTGTATATAGCTTCGGTCAGCATTCTCAAAAAGTACAGCCATGTGCCACTCTGCACAAAATTTTTAGCAATAATAAATGAAGATTTTTTAAAAACTTTAGTAGCTTATAATTTGTATTGGAAAAATAACTACTATTTCAAATGTTATTTCAGTTATTGCTGTTTAAGACATGACTGAGGTACACAGTTAAGATTAAAATGACTCAGATTTTAAAAGTGAATAGTACAGATGGTACATACTATGGCAAAAATCATGAAAGGTGTTAAGCCACTGAATGACTGAGGTACACAGTTAAGATTAAAATGACTCAGATTTTAAAAGTGAATAGTACAGATGGTACATACTATGGCAAAAATCATGAAAGGTGTTAAGCCACTGAATGCCCTTTAGGAAAAACTGGCTTAGGCGTTTCACAACTCAAATGACCAAAGCTTTCCTTTTTAAACACAAAAGTATCATCAGTAAGCTCAGTAGAGAAGTCACTTGCCTGCTGACTTCTCTAATGAAGATTCCCTTCAGGCTTGGAAAACTGAATGATGTCTGTAGAGTGGCAGGAAAGTCATGAGAGAGAGTCGTTTTCTGTATGCAGTATCTTTGCTCAATAAGAATCATAATTCTTGATAATGAGTTGAGTGGAAAATTTTCTTGCTTTCTTTTTTTTCTTTGCATTTTTAAAAACTGATCTAGATACTTGTGACAGGAATTTTTAGAATATCAAGAAAGTTCTCTGATTCTGTTTAGATGACATGTTAATGTTTAATAATTTGTCTAAATTTTGTGTGTTTAATTTAGATGTTGATGTTAGTGAAGATTCACCTCCTCCCCTACCTGAAAGAACTCCTGAATCTTTTTTGTTAGCAAGTGAACATAGTGAGTGTCTCTTTTGCTTTTACATTTAGTTCATATTCTAATAGTAAACTCTGGAAAACATGCCTGATTTTAATCTATTAGCTATTGTGCTGCATAGTTAAATTTAATATCAAGTGAATTGATACTGACATCTTTTTAATTCCTTGTGTGAAAAATGCTTTTAAATATTTTTTACTTGCTAAGATCGATAGAAATTACTGCATTTATGTTAGATGTCAGAATTCATTTAAATACAATTATAGGCCAGGCACGGTTGCTCAAGCCTGTAATCTCAGCACTTTGGGAGGCTGATGCGGGTAGATCACCTGAGGTCAGGAGTTCAAGATCAGCCTGGCCAACGTGGTGAAACCCCGTGTCTATTAAAAGTACAAAAATTACCTTGGTGTGGTGGTGGGCGCCTGTAATCCCATCTACTCAGGAGGCTGAGGCATGAGAATCACTTGAACCCGGGAGACCGAGGTTGCAGTGAGCTGAGATCGCACCAGCCTGGATGAAGAGCAAGACTCCATCTCAATCAATGCAATTATAAGGCCGGGCTTGGTGGCTCATGCCTGTAATCCCAGCAGTTTGGGAGGCCGAGGCGGGAGGATTACCTGAGGTCAAAAGTTCAAGACCACCTTGACCAACATGGAGAAACCCCGTCTCTGCTGAAAATACAAAATTAGCTGGACATGGTTGCACATGCCTGTAATCCCAGCTATTTGGGAGGCTGAGGCAGGAGATTCTCTTGAACTTAGGAGGTAGAGGTTGCAGTGAGCTGAGATCGCATCATTGCACTCTAGCCTGGACAACAAGAACAAAACTCTGCCTCAGAAAAAAAGTAAAAATTAAAACTAAATACAATTATAAGTGTATTTGCAATCTGGTGTATTTTTATTGATTAAAAGTAGCACTTATTTACAAAGACTCATTAATTGCTTCCCTTAAGGGCTTAGGTAAGTAAACATTTCTGTTGGGTATGGGTGGTCATCACTGGATTGGTGTTAACCGAAAGATACCTAAGACCACTGAAGTAGACTGGGCACATTGGCTCATACTTGTAATCCCAGCACTTTGGAAGTCCAAGGTGTGAGAATTGCTTGAGCCCAAGAGTTTGTGACCAGCCTGGGCAACATAGTGCTATCTCATCTCTACTAAAAATAAAAAAATTAGCTAGTCATGGTGGTAGGTACCTGTAATCCCAGCTGCTTGGGAGGCCGAGGCAGGAGAATTGCTTGAACCCAGGAGGCAGAGGTTGCAGTGAGCCAAGACTGTACCATTGCTCTCCAGCCTGGTCTACAAGAGCAAAAACTCCATCTTAAAAAAAAAAAAAAAAGAAAACTAACCAGGCATGGTGGCATGTGCCTGTAGTCCTTGCCACTCAGGAGGCTGAAGAAGAAGGATTGCTTGATCCTTGGAGTTAGAGGCTGCGGTGAGCCATGATCGCGGCACTGCACTCCAGTTGGGTAACAAAGTGAGACCCTGTCTGGGGAAGTAAAAAAAAGACCACTGGAGTATCAGACCTGGAAGAAAGTGATCATACTTCACAACATTTTTATAATGTACTTCACCCTATTCCTCTTAAAAAAGAGTACAGAAACAGCTTGATTGTATTTACAGTGTCTCATGCTCAGTGGAGGTGCTCACTAATATAATATAATTACATTTTACCAATATATTAATTTTGACTTTTTTTTTTAAATTTTGTGTGATGGAGTCCCACCCTGTCACCTAGGCTGGAGTGCTGAGGCGATCTTGGCCCAGTGCAACCTCCACCTTCTGGGCCCAAGCTATTCTGCATCAGCCACCTGAGTAACTGCGATTAGAGGCATGCACTGTCACTCCTGGCTAATTTTTTTTTGTATTTTTTGATAGAGACAGGGTCTCACCATTTTGGCCAGGCTAGTCTTTAACTCCTGACCTCAAGTGATCCACCTGCCTTGGCCTCCCGAAGTGAATTTTGACTGATATTAAGATAAATGTTGAAGAACTAGGCACCGTGGCTTATGCCTGTGGTCCCAGCACTTTGGGAGGTTAAGGCAGGTGGATCTCTGTTCCACATTGCCCTAGAAGTTAAAGACCAGCGTGGGCAACATGGCCAATCCTGTCTGCACAAAATCAAAAACCAGCCAGGCGAGGTGGTGTGCACCTATAGTCCCGGCTACTCAAGAGGCTCAAATGAGAAGATTGCCTGAAGGTTGAAGTTACAGTGAGCCGAGATGGTACCTGGTCAACAGAGTGAGACTGTCTCAACAACAACTAAAAAGAATGTTGGAAACCATAAAGCAGTTTACCTCATTTGTCTAAGTCTGTCACATTATCTGTAGATTATAATAAACTCTGATGACTGAATTTATTTAGTTAGGTCTTGAAGGAAGGAAACATAAAGGAATTTTCTCGAATTAATAGAAATTACAATTTTTTTTTAAAGAAACTTAAGAAATATGCTTACCCAGAAACTACAAAATTTTTGTGGAAGTGATAGTTTCTAAAATCTTTAGGATCTATTTTTTATATTACTTTAGTTCAAAGAAATTTCAAAAATTAAAGATGTTAATAATGATAAGATTTCATTTTTCTCAGATACACCTGTAAGATCTGAATGGAGTGAACTTCAAAGTCAGGAACGAGCTGAACAAAAAAAGTCTGAAGTGAGTCCTTTTGGAATTGGAACAGTTATAGCTTAACATTTTTACTCTTTATCTTGCACTTGTTGAAATAGCTGTCATCTTAAGATCATTAAATATAGTTTATAATTTTTGGCTAGCATTTCTTAGGCTAAGATTTCAGATGAAAAGCCCATATTAAAGGTAGGATCTGAAATTTCTTTAAAGGGTAACATGATCTACATACAACCATCACTTTAAAGTATTGTTTTCTCAAGCTGTTTTTGAAATTTGTAAATTATGACATGTTTCAAATAATTTTGAAGTTATTAATGAAACAAGAGTTACTGTTTTCAGGGTCCTAATACGTTCTTACATTTCTACATGCTTTCCTTTATAACACTAGGCACTTAGTCATTTCTTTTGTGTTTTTTCTGGCCATGTGGCATTTCTTTGACATTTGAGAAACGTTTTGGCAATTAAATGTTTCGAGGGCCTGGCTGGGTGGCTAACACCTGTAATCGCAGCACTTTGAGAGGCCAAGTGGAAGGATCACTTGAGTCCATCCTGGGCAACATAGGGAGTTCAAGACCATCCTGGGCAACATAGGGAGACCCTGTCTCTATAAAAATTTTTAAAATTAGCCAGGCATGGTGGCGCATGTCTGTGGTGGCACATGTCTGTGGTCCCAGCTTCTTGGGAGGCTGAGATGGGAGGATTGGTTGGGCCCCTAGAGGTTGAGGTTGCAGTGAGCCGTGATCACACTACTGCACTCCAGGTTGAGTGACAGAATGAGACCCTGTCTAAACAACAACAGCAACAAATTTGCCCATGGGAGATAATCATTTTTTATTAACATTAGTACTTTTTATATTTTCTCCCATATTTTAGTATCTCTGAAATTGGGCTACATAAAATCAAATCATATTTGATTTTAAGATGTGATGTAGTTTAATTCACACATAAAATACAATAATGATGTAATCAATAATAGTGGCTGGCAAAATACAGCTATGTGTTCATGTAGTAGCTCATGCTTTTTCAGTGCTCATTGGGAAACATTTACTCCAAGTAGAAACAGCATAGCATTTTAAAGTTTTACACCTAATTAAAAACACAATTGTTTGCTTTTCCTCTAATGCTGAAAATGATAGGCCTTGATTTATTGGGATATATACCCATAACAGATCCAGCTTTTTATTATTTTTATATAAAATGAATGTATTGTAATAGGTATTAAATGTCTTCCTCATAGGGCTTGATAACCCCTGAAAATGAGAAATGTGGTAAGTTGTTAGAATTTTTTTCCTTTTTACTATAAATTTTATAGGTTAATTTCTACAAAATAACATGCCTCATAGTTCATGGTATTTAGTTATTTCTGTATGTGAAAATGTCTAAGACAATTCTTCTAGAAGCTTAATACTGTACTATAGTTCTTCCAAATTAATTACTACCACCAGATAGTATTATCAGTCTGGAAAATCATGGGAGCATTTATTATCAATAGTTGCAGGCTAATGAGAAAAAGATTTTTTTAAAAGTATTTTTCTGTTTTTTGTTGTCTGTTTGTAAAAACACCTAGAAGCTAGATCCTGACTTAAATAAAAGCCCAACGTTTACCTACATGATGGAATTGGCACTATAGAAATCTATTGTTTTAGGAATCATCCTTTTAGTACTTTTACATTTATTTGTGAAGACCAGTAAAATTATATAGCTCAAACCAATGTTATAATGCCCAGTTTGAATTTTTTCTACCATATTCCTTTTACTGTCATATCAGTGACCATATAAGTAGCTCATTAAACCTCCCAGCCTGTACAGTGTTTTCAGTTCACCTGTTGTGTCTGCCCCTACCCTCCATTTTGCTACAGTTCTTCTCTCTCAATATTATACTCTGAATATTCGCCTAATGAGTCTGTTCCATCTTACAAATGCTATTACTTTCTATAATTTTTTTATAATGAAAATAGCAGGGCCAGATGTAGTAGCCTGCACCTGTAATCCTAGCACTTGGGGAGGCCAAGACAGATGGATCACTTGAGGTCAGGAGGTTGAGACCAACCTGGCCAACATGGTGAAATCCCATCTTTACTAAAAATACAAAAATTAGCCACCCGTGGTGGTGTACACCTGTAATCCCAGCTGCTCCAGTGGCTGAGGCAGGAGAATCACTTGAACCCAGGAGGCGGAGGCTGCAGTGAGCCAAGATTGTGCCACTGCACTCCAGCCTGGGCAACAGAGCGAGCCTTTGTCTCAAAACAAGAAAATAGCAGAAGCTTTAGAGTCAAGCCAGCCTGAATTGGAATTCATCTGACTCTTAGATGACCTTTACTTCACTGAGAAATTAGAGGCCTTTAGACCAGGATCATCATTTCCTCCTAGAACATGGCCCTGAGTATCTCACCACCACTAGTCTCATATAGCTACGTCTCCTCTTTGTCTCCATTGCACATTATGCATACTTTTATTTAAAAACTAGACAATATGATAATTAATGTATCTCTCTGTGTCTCCTATTAGACCAGGGTTTGGCATTGTATAGCCTACAGGCCTAATGTTTGTTATAACCTTGAGCTAAACAAATGGCTTTTATGTTTTTAAAGAGTTGTTTAAAAAGAAAAACAACGAGCTGGGCACGGTGGCTCACTCCTGTAATCCCAACACTTTGGGAGGCTGAGGTGGGTGGATGACAAGGCCAGGAATTTGAGACTAGCCTGACCAACATAGTGAAACCCTGACTCTTAAAAAAAAAAGAAAAAAAGAAAAACAATGAAACTAAGAAAGGCAAAGAAGAATATGACAGTGATCTTATGTGGCTTGCAAGGCCTAAACCACTTATTTTCTAGTTTGTTGTTCTCTAGCTTTATTTTCTTTAAGAAGTTTGTGGGCTCCATTCTAGACTGTAAGCATCTTGAGGATGGGGATCATCTATTATTTTACTTGTATTCCAAGTTTCCAGCAAGGTTCCTTACTGAAGTTTGGGGCATGTGATGAAGATTGTGAAAGAATGAATGAATTATAGTAGTTAATTTCTTTTGTTACTAGTCTTAAACATTGGTAATTAAAGAATAAACTGCAATCTAAACAACATGAAACTTTAAAAGTAGAGTTATTATTTTGGGGTACAAATAGTTCATCAGTTAACCCCGACGTTGTTGATTTCTATACAAAGGCATTTCCGTTGCAATTATTCCTTTAGAACATAGGCATATAGTATAGTTACCTTAAGGAATATAATATGTCAAGACCTAGATATATGAAATAAGAATGATGAGAATCTTCACATTGCAGAAGTACTCACTGCAGATTTCTGTATGACCACAATAATACCTAACATGACTTCCTGTGCTCACTACACTTGTATTTATATTGATCTTGATCTATAAAATGATGGTGCCCAGTAGATAAAATTTTCTCTTTTCATGCATTCTCAACATTTAAAAAATTAAGAAGTTCTCTATATGATGCTACAAAGGGTAGTGATCAACAAAGTCTTTGTGTTGCATTTTAGATCATCCAGTGGGGGGTATTCACTCAGAGATGGGTATAGAACGTCCACCTACTTTCAGTGACAAGAGAGAACAAATATTGGAAAGTCCGACAGATGCCACAGATATTGGTAACTTGTTTAAACTTTAAATATAATTAACACTGGCAAGAATGAGAAAAGCTCATTTGCCATTGTGAAATGACACTTGCCAAGAATAAAATGTATGATTTTCCAAAGTTGCTTGGACTAATCATGAAATAAATGAAATACTTAATTTTATTTCACATTGAGATTAAAAACCAAAATAAAAAACTGTGGTACATAACAAATCTTTTGTGTTGGAAAGACTAAATTATCTTAGATGTTTTTCTTACGTTGTGATAAAATTGGTTTTATTTTTAGCATAAGATGTTTAAAAGAAGCAATTATTTTTAGTTACCCCAAATACATTTACAATTGTTTTTGCATTTACAAAGTTTTGTTTGGTTTAAATTCTAAATTCCCTTGTGGAAATTTATATTTTCCAGAAAATGAGACTGTCTGTGGACATGGTTTTTAGTAGTTTAAAAGTAAATTTGAACACTGACTAGTTATTGTGGTGTTTTCGCTATAGGTTTTGGTAATCGCTGTGGAAAACCCAAAGGACCAAGAGATCCACCTTCAGAATGGACATGATTCAGGGAGCTAAAAGACACTTTAAATTATACTGGAAAATTCAAGTGCCACTGAAAGCCAGATTTACCGTATTCCATCTTTAATATGTGGGACTAACAGCAGTGTAGATCGTTACCTTAGTATTTTTTGCTGGGACCATCTACCTGCCTTATAGGAAAAAGTATTACGTATGGTTTATTTTGAAACTTCAAGTATTATTGCCTTAATGTCTCTTAATCCTGTTACACGCTGCTTGTAGACATGTTAATATAGTAATACTTTTATGATATATTGAGTTTAAGGACTACTCTTTCTCTGTTTTATCATGTATGCATTATTTTGTATATGTACAGGGCAAGTAGGTATATAATTTGATAAAGTTGCAATCATAAAATATTATTAACAGAAGATGTAAGAAATTTCTGCATGGTCTAAATCTTTGTGTACTTTATTTGTAAATTATTTGCCCTGGAGTTTTAGAAAATAGTTTCTGAATTTTAAAATTGCTGGATTCATGCAGCCAGCCTTGCAGGTTATCAGAGATCAAAGATTGTAATAATAATACATTTTGTAAATTGTAAGCAAAAAGTTATTTTTATATTATATATGGTCTAATTGTTCATCCTCATTGTTCTTGTTTTCATCTAGTCAGAGATTCAGTAAGTGCCTTGGAACAATATTGAATTCTCTTAGCTTGTGTGTGTGTTTCTTCAATATCTGAACTCAACTGGGATAAGAAGACTATCAAAATACATGTATGTTTCAGGATATTTGACCTGCCATTAAAAAAACAAACCGTTTTACAGTGCCTATTTGTTGCTTTGGCTTTGCATTTCTCATTCCTAGGAAATTGGACTTAACTATCTGCCTTCTTGCTGGCTCATTCTTGGTGTGGAATGAGTGTGAAAGGGGTTTAATCTCTTTTTTATTTTTAGACAGAGCCTTGCTCTGTCATCCACTTGAGTGCAGTCACTCATTGCAACTTCCACTTCCTGGGTTCAAGTGATTCTCCTGCCTCAGCCTCCCGAGTGGCTGGGGTTACCGGTGCCCACCACCATACCCGGCTAATTTTTGTATTTTTAGTAGAGACAGGGTTTCATTATGTTGGCCAGGCTGGTCTCAAACTCCTGAAATCAGGTGATCCACCCACCTGGGTCTCCCAAAGTGCTGGGATTATAGGCGTGAGCAACCATGCCAGGCCTAATCTCTTAATTAAGGAATATCGAGTACTTTCTGCAAAAAACATGGTTCTGCTGATTGTAAATCCTTATCCTTGAGTCAGCCCCTAGGCATTCCTCATCCTTATTATTAGCCTACCAGAGTCCTAGTAGAAAACCAAACAGAGGGGGCCAGGCGGGGTGGCTCACGACTGTATTTCCAGCACTAAGAAAAGAGAAAACCAAACAGGGGAGATTGGGAAAGGGAACTGGTTTCTTCTCATCCCATGAATGGAGCACAGATTACTATTTGTGAATAGTAAGTCTGAATTTTGACAACTGTGGATTGGAATTGTTGGATATTGTATTTTACCTCTGCATACAAAAGAATGATGAAATTATGAAACTAAAGTACCTGGAAAACTTTATATGAGTAGAAGGGGGATTATCGAGGAGAAAATAATACTACAATTTCACATCAAATTTGTTTTAAACACCAACTGGTCTTCATGTTGACCCCTTAGAAGTTTTTTTTTGAGATGGAGTTTAGCTCTTGTCCCCCGCCCCCAGGCTGGAATGCAATGGTGTGATCTCAGCTCACTGTAACCTCTGCCTCTCGGGTTCAAGCGATTCTCCTGCCTCATCCTTCTGAGTAGCTGGGCTTCCAGGTGCCCACCACCACGCCTGGCTAATTATTTTTGTATTTTTCATGGAGACGGAGTTTTGCCATGTTGGCCAGGTTAGTTTCAAACTCCTGACTTCAGCAGCCTCCAAAAGTGTCAGGATTACAGTCGTGAGCCACCATGCCTGGCCAATCCCTTAGAATTTGAAAAGTTTCTGTATGCTTCCATAATGAGGTGGTAATACAGTGATGCTTGACATTCTCAAGACACAGGCACTCCTATAATACATCATTTTCTAATACAATGTAAACTGAAATAAAGCATAACTGAAAAAAGTTTTAGCCCCTTCACATAATTGATGAGTTATTTTAAGTACTAAAATCATAAGGATTTTTGCTGTTGGAATGGGGTATCTTGGAATACCTTCACTGAAGTATACATGTATTCAGAAGTATGCAAAAATCCTATTAATCATCATAAAGAATACCACCTATGTGAGTGTGACCACCACCTAGGTCAAGCAGTAGAACAGTATCAGCAACTGGGAAGCTAACCCCCTTTGGCTTCTGAGATTTGTTCCTATTCATATGTGTATTCATTATATGTTCTCTGGTTTTCGAGATGGTGTCTCACTCTGTCACCCTGGCTGGAGTTCAGTGGTGTAAGCTCAGTGCATCCTTGACCACCCGGGCTCAAGTGATCCTCCCATGTCAGCCTCCCAAGTACCTGGAACTACAAGCACATACCATTATGCCTGGCTAATTTTGTTTATTTTTTGTAGAAAATAAAAGTCTCACTATGTTGCCCAGACTAGTCTCAAACTCATGGCCTTAAGTGATTCTCTTGCCTCAGCCTCAATCTGAGCCACTGAGTCAGCCATGCATGTATCTTTTGGCACACACCTGTACTTATATCTGTTGGATATATATTAAGGAGTGGAATTTTGATATCACAGTATTTGCATATATATTTCAGCTTTAGTACATACTGCCAGTTTTCTAAATTGATTTTTCTAAATTCTTGCTAACACTTCATATGGTCAGTACTTTTCATTTTAGCCATTCTAATGGGTATGTAGTGGTATTGCCTTATCTGAATGTCTATTTCTTTGATGATTAGTGAGGTTGAACAGCTTTTCACATGCATGTGATCATGTGGATTTCCTCTTCTATGAACTACCTGTTCAAGTCTGAAGCAGATACTATTTGGTAGTATCAGCTGAAACTGAATATGCATGTGCCTTATAATTTAGCAATTTTGCACCAGTTTGTTTCTTTTGTGTTGTCTTTTTCTTATCGATTTCTTGGGATTGTTTGTATATTCTACGTTTTAATCCTTATGGGTTTGCCTGTGGATTGTCTTCTCACTCTGTTAATGGTGTTTTTTAGTCCAAGTTACCAGTCTTTTCTAATTAATGCTTGTTCTTGTTCTCTTTTAGGAATATTTGGCTATCCCAAAGTAATGATCTACAGTTTTTCTAGAAGCTCTATTCTTTAGCTTTTTTTTTTTTTTAATCTAAATGTACAGAATTTGTATATGACATGAGGTGGATTTTTTAAAATTGAGCAACCACCAATTACTGAGAAAACTGTCCCTCCTCCACTGAGTTTTCTCATAAATTTGGGGTTTATTGATCTGAAAATCAGCTTCTGGATTTTTTTTCTTTCTGCTATTCTGTTGTCTATCCTTACACTATTTTAAACTGCCTTTTTCCAGCTTTAGCTTTCTTCCATTGATTAATTTTTATGCCGCCTGTAACACTTGATAAAAGCCACTTCTATTTTTCTGTATTGTAAAGCACATGGTGAACTCATTTGTGTCTGATATTCCACTGCCAAATTCATCCTGCCAGTTTCCAAACCTCAACCTTGTAACTAGCCTACAAAGACCTTTAAATCTCTCTTTGCATCCTAAGTACTATCAGCTTTCTTTTGGAAGCCATTTTTCACGAACAGTGTTTTTTGCTTTATGGACATTTCCCCATACATTAATGAGCAGAAAGTAATAAAGCCATAGTTATTTGTAAGTGCTGAGCTAGACTCAGTCACTGGGTAACTGACTTGCTCACATGTAACAACCTCATTGGATATGTGGTGCAGATTTTTGCCTGAGCAAAATTCTGTAGCTATGTTCTAAACCCTTGGGGTCACTTAAAATAGTAGTAACTACGAATGTTAAATTCTTGAATGTAAAGAGTTTACTATTTATCAGTTTGCCTTTTTATATTCTGTAATTGAATTTACTATAGGTAGAAAGTTCAGAATTTCTACTTATATTTAGCTAATTAAATGGATATGAAAGAAAGGGCAGGTGTCTTAGTTCCCAAGATTCTGCCTTGGAAAGGAAAAAATGTCAACTTTGAATATGTTGATTTTAGGTAGCCAATACATTCAGCATCAGAGAAGTGATGTCCAGTTCACAGGTGGAAACAAGTTTGAAGTTCAGAAGGAAGGTCCACGTTGAAGATCAAGATTAGGGCATTAATACTGAGATGAATGAAACCATGAGTGTACCCAAAACCCCAGGGAGGATAAATGAACAATTTGATATTTAAATGAATTTTTGCAGTTACATGGTAAATCTTTACATGTCTATTTGTCAAAACATGATTTGGGTTAAACATGGGCACTATCTCCATGCCAGTCATCTGAATCACTTTGTACTTTAGGTTCTGATCTCTTCAATCCATTCACCTTCCTCACTACCACCAGGCTGATGTTGCTAGAAGGTCAACCAGGATCTGCTCTTGACTTGACTTCTCCCTAAAAAATATTTAATGGCTCTTTATTGCATGTAGTAATGTTTCATCAAAACATTAAAAACCTGGCTGTGAGCGGTGGCTCATGCCTGTAAACCCTGCACTTTGAGGGGCTGAGGCAGGCAGATCACTTGAGGTCAGGAGTTCGAGACCAGCCTGCCAACATGGTGAAATGTCGTCTCTACTAAAAATACAAAAATTAGCTGGGCATGGTGGCAGGCGCCTATAATCCCAGCTACTTGGGAGGTTGCAGCAGAAGAATCACTTGAACCCAGGAGGTGGAGGTTGCAGTAAGCCAAGACCATGCCATTGCACTCCGGCCTGGATGACAAGAGACTTTGTCTCCAAAAAAAAAAAAAAAAAATTTTTTAAACTTGGCCCAGGTTCTCCTGTGCTAGAATTTAGGGAGTGTTCTTAAAATTCAGGTTCCAAGGTCCTACTCTGGGCTTGAATTAGAGTGGAGCCAAAGAATGTGTATTTTAGACAAGCAGCATAGGTTATCACCTAGGCGATTCTGTTGCAATAGTAAAATTGGAGAACAAGACCTACAGGACCAAGTCCAGACTCCTGAGCAGATCATGCAAGACCTTGTTCAAGATCTTTCTGCTGCTGATCTCTCAGGCCTTTTCTCTGGTCACATCTGTGCTCCAACCACGAACTACTTACAGTTTCCAGAGCTCCCCAACCTCGTTAGTTATCCTATACTTTCCCTCTTCAATGTCATTCTTTGTCCTGTTCTGGTGAGCCCTACTCATCTAACAAGATTAGTTGAAGTGTCATTTCCTGTGTTAAACTTACCTTGTCCTGTCTCCTACCAAGTCAAATCAACCATTTCCTCTTTCTGCTCTGTTAAACTGGCTTCTTTGGGAGAAATGACCATTAAATTTAGTGGAAATATTGCCGTATATAGAGTCAAGTAGGTAAGTGTTCAGAGTAGGACTAATTTTGAATATCAGTATTTTCTTTCTTTCTTTCTTTTTTTTTTTTGAGACAGAGTCACGCTCTGTCGCTGGGCTGGAGTGCAGTGGCACAGTCTCGGCTCACTGCAACCTCCCCATCCTGGGTTCAAGTGGTTCTCCTGCTTCAGCCCCCAAGTAGCTGGGCCTAAAGGCACCCACCAAGACACCCAGCTAAATTTTATATTTTTTAGTGGAGACAAGATTTTGCCATGTTGGGCAGGCTGGTCTTGCACTCCTGACCTCAGGTGATCCACCTGCCTCAGCTTCCCAAAGTGCTCAGATTATAGGCTTGAGCCACCATGTCTGGCCTTT